TTTTCGTTCATTATTGTTTTACGCTTATTTTAAAAATTATTTTTAACTTTTTAGTTCGATGTTCTTTAAAAGCGTGTTTTTCAGTTTTTTTAAACTATATTTATTATAAGTTTTAACCTGCATATTATGTTTATTGAAATTATTTTATTTTAAAACATAAATAATTTTAGTGTTGAANATTATGTTTATTGAAATTATTTTATTTTAAAACATAAATAATTTTAGTGTTGGAAGTTAAATTTTAAAAATTTGGCTTTTCTTTTTCTATTTTACTTCTTTTTTATTTAATAAAATTTATAATAAAATGTATTATTTTACTATTATTATTTTATTTGATTTACCGGCATTTAAAATATCCCAAAGTAGTCGATCTGCAATGAATAATAATATTAACTATTATTAGTGTAATCAAATAAAAAATTTAAGTGAATTATCATTATGATATAATAAAAGTTGAATATACAGTTACGTACATTTTGTTTCGGTCTCAGAGTGGACAGCAGTGGCGGTTCGTGGGTCTCAGAAGTGGTGAGGCAAACATTTAATTTAGTAAATTTGAATAAAGAATATATCTATTTTTAAGATTATAGGTACTCGTAGATAATAGCTGTATTAATTGGTAACATGTTAATTCTTTAAAATTTTTATTAATTATAAGATGAAAAATTATAATTGTATAAAACTTTTATACAGTGACTGATAACTGATGTGAATCGACATATTGTCGATTCCATTTATTTTATATGTAAAATGTCGTTTCGCATTTGAAACCACCGGGCACAAGATGGTGTTCATCGTTGAGGAAAATTTACATCAGCCTCATTTTACGAAGTATTCCCCACCAATCAATCTTAATAATCCAGTATAGCAACTGAATAAAAAAAAAAACCCAGCACAGAGGGGACGCGGCACAGTGGTGACGAGGCATAGATTTTAAAATATAATATATGAATAAATACTAATTATAGATTTTAAATTTAGTGTAAAATTGTGAGGCCACTCTATGATGTATGGTTCATAGTGTTGGGCGGTTGATCAGAAAGTAGAGCAGAGAACAAGTGTTGCAGAGATGAGAATGCTTAACTAGATGAGTGGAGTGACTAGAGAAGATAGGATAAGGAACGACTAAATAAGAGGAAGTATAGGTGTTGAGTCAATAGTGGACAAGATGACAGAAAATAGATTTAGATTGTTTAGTCATGTTATGAGCAGAGGAGAATTGGAATCTGTAAGAACAGTAGAAATGAATTTTGAAGGAAGAGGTAGAGGAAGACCAAAAAAGAGATTGAGGGATGTTATTGAATGCGACATGAGGACAGCTGATGTGAGCGTAGAAGATGTGGGAAATCGTGTCATGTGGAAGCTTAGGATAAGGGTGGCCGACCCCAAGTAGTTGGGATTAAGGCAAAGAAAAAGAAAACGATTACCAAAAATTTCGATGGCAATTGACATAATATGATTGTTGTTTGGGAATGTACAATTTAGAGTTTAGTTGGGTTTAAACAATATAGCGTCAAATCAATTACCTACTCTATCGGTTGTATCTTAATATACACTACACTTTAATGATACAATAAATAAATAAACTCACACATACACACATATGCATTTATAACATTGTGTCTAATGTAAGTATAACATGATAAAAAGTATCCATAAATGAAAAAAATGGAAATTAAATTTTAGTAATCATATTAAATGTAATGTAATTCGAAAAATATTTGTTTAAATGAAAAAATATTAAATAATTTTTTTGTTTATATTTGTCTTTTAAACAACTTTTGTACAAAACTTTTTTTTGTAAGTTAAATGTTTTTTGAGAAAATTAAAGAAGCCTATAATTTTGAACTTTTTCGGGGCTGTAAAAAAAAGCTCAATTCCAATCAATGAGGACTATTAGTGTGTCATTATACATATTTTAATTAAACTTTTAAAAAAACAAAATTTGGTTGGGAATTTTTTCCGCAATTTTTCCTTTGTTGGCTGGCCTAGATGTCAATTTCAAACATATTATTGAGCTAAAAGTTATGGTAATATATTTAATTTTTTTTACTATAAACTTACATAAATCTTTATCAAAAATTTTTCATCAACTTTAAAGAACCAAAAAAATAGGTTAAAAATGAAAATTTGGACTGATTATTTTTAACATATTAAAAATCAAATCAGTAATAAATTAAAAACAAAATTTTTTTTTCTTTTAATTATTATTTTATATGTAATTAGTAATAATATAAAACATTAGAACTGATAGATCTAGTCTAATTGCAAATTTGAAAACAACGCGAAAATTTGATTTAGAAAAGTATATTTTTGGTTATGATGAAAGTTCCTTGAAGTCCAGTGCATTCATTTATAGTAACAAACAGTTTTTATTGATAATTATTGTATCAAGCCCTTTAAATTTTTATACACGTAAAAGTAAAGCAAAATATAACTTTTTCATATTTTTTAAAATTTCTCCGTATAAATTACAATATTAAATTACTGAATATCAATTGTATACTAAATATAATAATTATAATTAGTACTTATTCATATATTATATTTTAAAATTAAAGAATTAATAATTAGGATATAATCAAAGAAATAAGAGTTGATGTTGCTTTTGGAATAATCTACCAATTTCTCTAAATGAAACACTATCTAGAGATTTGCATCGAAGTGTTTCTTATGATAGTGATTTTAATTATTGTCAGATATTATCTATAATTGTCCCATCTATGCCTCGTCCACACTGTGCTACCATTTTTTTTTTTTGTGTCTTTATACGCTCAATCTCAGCTCTCACTGACCCTATTTTGATAAAAAATATTTCAAAAGATCACAAATCGTATCTAGTTGAAGACATTACCCTAAAAATTTGAAATAAAATCCCTCGTTCTCCGTAAACGGGGGGAAATCCCCCATAAATTTCTAATTTCCTACTTAAAAAAAAAAAAAATTTGGTTGGGAATTGTTTTGCTATTCACCAAAATTACTTCTTCGTTGACTAGAATGAATCATTAAATAGAAAATTTGATGAGAATTAAAACGGTGTTATTTTTAAGATTAATATGCAGTCAGGAAATTTTATACTATTTACAGTATATCATATATACAGTATATTATACTGTTTTGGACATTTTTGTCAAGTTATAACAGTTAACAAAGTTATAAGTTTTATACACTGGACTACAAGGAACTTTCATCAGAAACAAAAATATACTATTCTAAATCAACTTTTCGCGATGTTTTCAAATGAGCAATGAGACTTTTTCTATCACTTCTAAGTTTTAATATTATAAAAAAATAGTATTTACATATAAAAAAAACCCAGCACAGGGCGGTCGCGGTACAGTGGTGACGTGGCATAGTTGGATCAAGTATTATGATATCTGACAGTGATTAAAATCACTATAAAAAAAAAAACGCTTCGATGCAAATCTTTAGTGTTTAATTTAAAAAAAATTGATGTATTATTCCAAAAGCTACATGATCTGCTGGTTCCTTATTATTATTCTGATTAAGATAAATTATGTCAAATGAAAAAGGGATTATTAAAAAATATTATTTTTCATAAAAAAATTGTATTGATCCATACATTTTTCAATAAATTATAGCATTATAAAGTTAAAAATGTAAAAAATAAAATCGAGATTTTTCACACAAAAATAGCATTTGGTAGCCATTTTCACTGTGAAGATANTTTATTAAGTTTAATGTCTGTTTTCACCATGAAGATAAAATAAAGTCCGAAATTTTTTTTTTCCATGATAAAGTATATTACATTAGCTTTAATTTAAGATATATATAAAAGTGTCAGACCTTCCGGAACATTTTCAAAAATCAATTTGAAAAAAATAATTTTTTGTAAAAAAGTTGTCATTTTAAATCCTTCCCTGTGGGCAGTTAAAGAGTCAAATATAAAAAAAATATATACGAAATGATAGTTAAAGACATCATGCATTTATAAAAAAAAAATGTATATTCATATGTTCATTTTTGAAAAAGTTACGGCAGTTTTTAGTAAAAAAAATTGAAAAAAGTTGAAAATTAGCGATTTTTAAATTTGTAATTTTTTTGGAGGTTTCCCCCATTTACGGAGAACGATGGAAATTTTTTCAATTTTTAAGGGTAATGTCTTCGACTAGATACGATTTGTGATATTTTAACGTATCATTGAAAGAAATCGGTTCGGTGTGAACTGAGAAAAAGTGGTAACAGACACAAAAAAAAAAAAAATAATAAAATAAAAATAAACACATCATAGTAAAATCAATACCTTCTCAGCTCTGCATCGAAGCAAAAAAATAATTAAGAACAAAAAAAATTGTTTTAAATTTATGCTGATTTTGATTATTAATATGTTAAAAATAAGGAAAATAACATATTTAACCTATTTTTTTTAATCGTTTAAAGTTGATTGTTGTAAATGTCTATAATAAAAAATTATAATTTATTTTACCATAACTTTTAGCTCAATTGGCAAGTTCGAAAATGACACCATAAAATAGAAAATTTTATGACAATTAAAAAAATTGTATCGTTAAGTTCAATATTCNAAATTTTATGACAATTAAAAAAATTGTATCGTTAAGATCAATATGCAGTCAGAAAGTTTTATAATTACTATTTATTGTAAATTTATCAGAAAAACTCAATATTTTTTTGCATTTTTATGGTAATAGAAAACTTAAATAAAAGTTATAGTAATAATTTCCTAGTAACATTTGTTGTTTGAAGAGATTCTATAATTGAAATATTGAGAACTTAATTAACATGTTACTAANATATAGCATAACATATATTTTTATACAAAATTATAAGAAAATTTTTAATTTGTGATGTTTTTTGTGTTTTCTGAACAAATATTTTTTTGGCACATAGAACGTTTGACACATTCACTCTTCATTTAATTTTGTAGTTGAAACCTATCATATCAAACTTATTTCGTCAATAAATACTTTAAAAACATTAAATATGAATGATTTTAATTGTTTGTATGGAGAACATGTAATAACTAACTGTATAATTGATAAATTAGAATTTTTTTTCAATTTTTGAGGGTTATATCTTCAACTAGATACGAATTGTTGTCATTTGACGTATCGTTGAAAAAAGTAGGTCAAGTTAGAGCAAAGAAAATAAATGATAGTCACAAAAAATATCATCTCAGATTTGCATCGATGTTAAAACTTAAAATATAGTAAAATAATTTTAATAAGAATAAAAATTTCTTCTCGCGAGTAGCGACAATAGTAATGGGATCTAAATTATTGAATCTAAATGAGATAAAAATCAAAGCAGTTGAAAATTTATTCTAATTTAAAAAGAATTAAGAAAAAATGCAAAACTTTAATGCCATATGCGGGTTGGAACCTTGTACCTCAATCGTGTAAAACACAAGTTTTACCAACTCGGCAATCATACGTTGCTTACCGTCGGCTGAAAAAATTTTCTATTTAAGCTAGTTCATTTTTCAAAGTTATTTTTCTAAACTTCAAAAAGAAAAAAAAATTTAAATAAGTTTAACTTTCTATGTTATCTCAAATTTTTATTTATATAATATTTATGAAAATCTGTATTCCCCTTGTCAGCAGAGGTGTCGTGGAGCGTATACGCGGGTATACGGCGTATACCCACCGTTAGTTTTCTTATTAGTGCATATACGTATTTATAAAATAGTTAAAGAGTATAGACTAAAGAATAAAATAAAAAGTAATACGTGGGTATCGAATATAGGTACGTTTGTCATAAAACACAAATTTTGAATAACTCTTATCAGTTTGTTTAATCTCTACAGTAATACCACATATAAACATATATCTGAAGTTATAAACACACAGATATGTCTCGAGACTATTATCATTTTAAAAATAGAATATAAATGTAAAACAAAACACTGTCAAAGTGTATAAATAAATATCAATAAAATAAATAGGATAATGTTTATCATTTCACGACAATTTTATTGACATTTGACAAAATTTAAAACATCGACCAGAAATTAACGATATAGCAAATACTAAGTTGAAACTGAAAGTTATTGGGTTAACCTATTTGTTAACCTAGCANGAAACTGAAAGTTATTGGGTTAACCTATAGCTGTTGAAATTGGTAATTTGTATTTTTCCGTAATAAACCGTTTACCAACCAATCTAGTATTTAATATATTACCTATAATGAATTAAGATAGTACTAACATGTACCTATTCACGTTTATTTCATTTATGTTTTAACGGTTTGAAAACAATGATTGTAAGATTATTTTATTACTGCATAAAGTTTATTGTTTATTTATAAAAAATCTAACAGCATCTAATAATACACTTATCGATTGTATGACTATGAAATTTAATTTATGTAAGAACTTAGAAGTGTCAGTAAAAGTATTCGAGTAATAGTTTGGAAGTTGGAAGGAGCAACTGGAAGGGTTAGGAGTTTTAGTTGCATTATGTAATAATTAGAAAAGACATATTTTTAACACAGCTAAAACATCACAATATTTGTATTCCGTCCCCCAAAATTATGTTATAGTTAAGGCCTTTGAAGAGTAGTGTGGGNACTATGTTATAGTTAAGGCCTTTGAAAAGTAGTGTGGGGGTGAAATTCCCCACGTTTCCTCATTTAGGTTTTTAACTTATCTATTGATCAAATTACGACTATATCACTGTTGATAATGTGAAATATTGTATGTAGAAAATGTAAAGTGCAATGGGGGGTGTGGCCGCCCCCCACATTATTCTCTAATCATTATATAAGCGTATACCCATAAACATTTTTAGGACTACACCACTGCTTGTCAGGTAATTTAAATTAAAANGGAGCCCCCCACGTTATTCTCTATTCATTATATAGGCGTATACCCATAAACATTTTTAGGACTACACCACTGCTCATAGGCAATTGGAAAATGACACAATGAATCGATTCCTAACAAGAAGGAAATCGCCTAATAAGCCAAGAAATTTTGTACAGATTTAAATAAAGATTTAGCAACTAGTTACATAATATTCCAATAAATAATTTTAAAATTAAATCAATAAACGGAAAAAAAAATTATTGACTTGAAGAATATTAATTAAAAATAACCTAAACTTAAAAAAATTCCATGTTTTTTCTTTGTCAATCTTAAAGAATTGAGACAAAATAGCATCAAAGTCAAAATTATTAATTAACTCGTACATTGGTAGCTAAATGTTCTCGAAAGGTATAAAAATTCTAATAATTGATTAAAATACAAAAAATGGCATATATAAATTCATGATTTTGGACTACAATGAATTCTAACCTTAAAATTTAATGAGGAAATATGCAACGTGTAACAATTATAAGTACTAGTTTATAACGGTTTTCCGCCCCACCCCAACACATCATTGATATAAATCCCTTTAATATTAAAGTTAGATAAATGAGCAATAATATAATAATTATAACTTTCGCTTAAAAAAAAAAACCAATATTTTGGAAATTCTTAATTAATTGATAAATTTGATTAATGTTAGTTCATATAGTTGATGAAATATAGTGTATCGTAAGACATAAAATATATAAATATTTTACCGATCATTTAAATAATTGTTTATTTATTTAACAGAAACAAAAAAATGTAACTTACCATTTTTAGTTGTTTTGTTGATTAAAAAAGGAACGAGTTAAAATAAAAACTTTAAGTCTTTAAGTGTGGTATGGTTTAAACAAGAAGCAATCGAAGCAGCTTCTCTCACGTCCAAACACAAATTGACGGTCATTGGCTGAGTCAACTGAGTTGTATGCTTGAACACTGTTCTACAGCCTGACGATACGCTGTTCGGCATACTCAACATTGCGGTACCTACGCGACGCGGCGCCGGTGTTCAAACACAAAACGGGTGATTCATCAATCAATGAGGGCTTTTTGTAGTTGAATCATCTTTCTTTTTATATTTTCAAAATAAGTTAGTCGATAAAATAAATAATAATAAGGAAAATCAGTTGGTTATTGCTTTAATAGTTTAAATTTTAAATATGAAAGTGACTACGTCATGAATAAGATATGAGTAGAGATAATAAAAAATCCGTTGAAATCGCTTTTTAAAATTTCTTAATTCGTTTTAAATAGCTAATGACATATTAAACACTAGTAATCTAGAGTTATTTCAAGAAGTTTTAATATTACTACAATTGTACGAAATTATAAGCCATTTGTTACAATAATATTCTATAAATCTCGTCTGTTTAATTTTTTATCATTGCCAAAGTGGTTGGTTCTGTTATCCAGGTCCGTCCTAAAATCGGGGAAAGCGAATCCACGCCTTGTTTGAGTACCGCGCTCACATACTTAAGAAACCCTAAGTTTTTTTATACACAATTATTTACATATATTATAAATATAGTTTGAATTATTATTTAACAATATATCATTATTAATTAAAATAAATCAAGTACGAAACACAGTATAAACTATGATAATAAAGTCGATATTCTTCTATAAAGGGTACTAAAAAAAATGTATGTAGGTTAAATGAGGTACTCGTACACAGAGCCGGACTGAGAAGCTAACGATCCAAGAGGTACAATAATTGTGGTGACTTAGCTCGTTCCAAAAATATTTATTTCGTTTCATAACAGGAATTTATGAGCAAAAAAAACGTCAAAAATAAACTTTTAAATTGAATTACTTTTATCATAGCGTTCTATAGACAGTGGCTTCTCCTTGCCAGTCCACTCCTGCTGGTAAAAGTAATAGGTAAAAATACTTTACGTATGTTAACATTTTTAAATGGGAGAAGTTGTCGACTTACAAAAGTGCAACTGCCTTCGTATTGAAAGCATCATATTTTTTTGTAAGCCCCGCTAAAAGAGTTGTGCCTCGGGATTCGAAAATTTTAGGGACGGCTCAGAGGTTATCACTTCCAATCTTGATACTTATAAATGTATACAATAAAACATGGGCGCCGGAACAATGGGGGCAACTGCCCTCACGGGAAAAATTCTGTGAGGGCATAGCCTTCACGGACAGTTTCTTTCCTCTGTATTTGTAGCTGTGCTCAGCCCCCACGATTCAAAAATTGTTCCAGCGCCACTGCAATAAAGTGAAACATGAAATAAAAGAAAATATCAAATTTATGTAATATTACAATACAGTTTTTATTTTGTAGTGAAAACATGTGAAACAATAGAATTTTTAAAGTTTTTTCTTAAAGGAGGAGGTTATGCATAAGAAAGTTTTTATTACCCTCTTCAAAATATATTTTTATCACATATTTATTTTTAAAATGGGGAGTTCTATCCCCCATATCACTCCATGAGAACGCTCACGATATGAAGTTAAACAACTCATAGCTCAAAAAATGAGTCCAGAAGTACGCATAGCCAGAAAAAAATTATCTTTATTATAACACCTAAGAACAAGACCGGATCTAAGGGTAACTACCCCTTAATTAGTTAACTCAAAAATGTTTGTAAAACTATAGGATTAAATGAAAATTGTAATGACACTAACAATATTGAAGTTTCATTTAAATATAAGTCTCCAGACTCATAATATTTTAATCCGGGTTTGCCTAAAAATAAATTTGTTTCTATTATACAATTAAAAAGAGAATTAACAGATGTTTCAAGTAGCAAATATTTAAGTGGAATAAATATATTAATAATATAATAAATAATATATTGTAATACAAAAATAAAGCGTTTGATAATATTTCGATTATAACAAGATCTTTTCTGTAATGCAAAGCATATTTTTTATTGACCCTTTAATAAATGACTTCATTGGGCTCCTAAAGTTGATACCTATTAAATTATTAACTCATATTTATGAAATATCATCAATTTTATGACACAATCATTCCTTTTGTTTGTACAAAAATTGTATTATTTTTTTTTGTTAAGTATTTATTTATTTATAAATAAATATACATTAATTAAAACAAAATTCCATTCTATTTTCAAAGTATTATGTTTATATATTTAGTTTACAATAGGCTAAAAAAATGTTAAGTAGAAAGTGTATATCCTTATTCTTCAAGATTTGCTGAAACCTACGAGGTAACCTTATTGCCCACCTAAAAAACCATTAAATTATATATATAATATGCATGCTAGAATAACCATATCCGGTGAACGCCCTATGTACATCGATCCGTCTATGGTGTTTCATTTAGAAAAGATGCATGTTATACGAAATGACCGGTTTATAGAACGACCAAAGCTGTTCGTTACGTATAAACAATTCCATTTATGGATAGCGTAAGACATAATGAAAGGAAAATAATAACTGCATTTAAGATTTTTTTTTAAAATATGTATTTATTAATTTGTATTTATATATTTCAATTGTAATATTTATTTAATAATATAAATAAAATATTACACGTATATGGAAGTAACCAACTCGATAATTTATATCGTTGCCACAAATGAATAATATTTTAATAAATAAGCTTTCAAAATACATGTTAACTCGCAACAAAGATAATGAATAAATAGTAATGAATTGAAAAAACCAAAACTTATTGTTTGACATGATCTTAGGTAAAGTAATTGCTCAATGAACTGTTGATAGTTTATACGGAATAAAAGCAGAAAATGCATTGTTTTTGGATAGAATAAATAAAATTATTGGGACTTTTAAACTTATAAAAAAAAATGAAATTTTTACATATTTTAGCTTCGATGTGAAGCGGAGAAGGTATTAATTTTACTATGATGTGTTTTTTTTTTTTTTATATCTGTTGCCACTTTTTCTCGGCTCTCACTGGACAGATTTCTTTCAAAAATACGTCAAAAGATCACAAATCGTATCTAGTTGAAGACATTACCCTTAAAAATTGAAAAAAATTCCCTCGTTCCCCGCAAATGGGGGAAATATCCAAAAAAATTACAAATTTAAAAATCGCTAATTTTCGAAATTTTTTCACTTTTTTTTCTTAAAACTTCCATAACTTTTTATAAATAAATTTTATTCAATTTAAACAATTATTTCCATTAAATTTTTTTTGTTTTCATAAAATTATATGTATATTTGTTAGTGTGGGTATAGAAAAATCAGAATGGCTGCACTGGCCGGATCGGTCAGCTGCCTCTTCTATCTATAGAGTTATATTACTTTATGGTTCTACCGCAGGGGAGATAATGATAAGTTTTGTCATTGTGATTTTTTGCCGTTATATTTTGTTTGGAAGGAGTCGACCTGGCCTAGTGGATTAAAACGTATGTTACGTCACACGGGTCCCGGGTTCAATCCCTCGGATGCCAACGAGATTTTCTCATTGGTGGTGTTTGGTCTCTGGTGCAAGCCGGCCATAGTACCCATTCCGTCCATCTATGACTCTTTAACAAATGAAAGAGGGCCATCATCCTCTATAGTATGTTAAGTTCGGGAAATAGATGGATGTAAAACTGATTTGTAAACATAACTTTTTTGGATAGAACCTAAATTGAAAACAGTTGATTTGTTTTTTCCTATACAAGTTAAGGAACTATTCATTGTATGATATATAATTTTTTGTAAATTAAGTCAGCTTTTTTTTTTTTTACAGTAAAATTTGTTAGGTTGTTCATTATTCGTTTTGTTGCAGTCTTAAGTAATTGTAGCTTCAAGTTTTTGTTGCATTGTTCATTAGCCATTTTTAGGTTAAAATAGTGTACACCATTGTAGTTGGCTTTCTATTATATTGTTAACCACCACCAATGGAATTTTTATAGCTTTGAGTATTCCTTTATTGGATTTATCTATAGCGTTCATTGAACTTTTTTTGGGATATCAATTGATAATTATTTTGTAAAAAAGGAATTGTATAAGTGTCATGAATTTTTTTTCTAGTAATTTATCGGTATGAATTTCGGTAGTTTTTTTTCTTTGCATATTTGCTGTAACTAGCAAAATTGTGATTGGCACACATGAGTTAGAGTTGAACTAATTTTGGAGAAACATTAATTAAATTTTAGGAAATTAAGGTCTATTCAATTATGTAGTTATTGAAGTTAATTTGCAATATATTAGTGTAAAACACTATGTGACCACTAATGTATATATTGTCCAGTTGAAATATCAAAATTGTTGTTATAGAAATAATGTTATTTTAAGTAAAAATATATTGTTGTATTAAAAAGTTTTTACTGTTTGAAATAAAAACTTTAATTATCACATTATAGCGTTTATCAATTATTTTATATACAGTCCTTTTAGGTGTTATAATATTTTAATCAGATCATTATTCACTCAACATTTGTAATAATGTAAAAATGAACATAACTTGTATCACTTGTGTAAATTTAATCGATTGCAATGACTAAATAATTTTTATAATTTAATGTATAGTATAGAAAATTATTGAATACTATACATTTCTATAATCTTTAATTTATGGATAATTTTGAAAACTCCAATTCAACCAACTTAGAGAAATTTTTTTTATCTAAGCTAAATCAGTGCTTTAGAAAAAATGCAACTCATTGCATTGTGTATTCTGTCTTCCTGCATACATTGGACATTGGACATTGAACATTTTCTTTTGTTAATGACCTGAGTAACAACAGGTCAGAAAGGTATTTCTGGTAGTTTGTCAATTGAAAATTTTGTTTGATACACACCCTTATGTATTTTAAACATATTCCTGACCTTTAAAAATAAGATAATGTTTGATTGGGTTCAAATCATTAAGATTTGATAGATTATTTTTATTTTATTACCAAATGATGGATATTATGTTATTTTAATTAACCAACATTGATATTTATTTAGCATAAATACTATTATAGTAAGGAATATTTAGTGGATCAAAACAAAATTTTTATTTTTTTGTAAATTAAAATTTTTTGCATCAATATTCAATATATATAATTAAAAAAACAAATAACTTAAAAAATGACTGAAAACTTTATTTAAAAAAAATCATTATTAAAATTACACATTATTAGATTATACTTTGATTATAACATTTGTACACCACCTTTTAGGATTTTAACATCATCAACTGGCCTATCATTTTTATCTGTTTCTACCATACCCATCTTTTTGACTACATTCATACCAGAATGAATACGCCCTTAAAAAAAAACAATTATAGTATAATTATAATAATTATTATAATATAAAAATTTATTCAGACTAAAATAAAGTTTAATATTATACTTATATCCATGGATAGTTTATAAGGAACAAGCATAAAGGAGGGAGTTTAGGTGTAGCGTCAATCGTGGATAAGATGAGAGAAAATAGACTTAGATAGTTTGGTCATGTTATGAGAAGAGAAGAATTGGAAGCCGTAAGATCAGTTGTAGAAATGAATGTTGAAGGAAAAAGAGGTAGATAAAGACTAAAAAAGAGATGGAGAGATGTTATTGAATGTGATATGAGCACATGTGATGTGAGCGTAGAGGATGTGGGAGATCATGTCACGTGGAAGTTTGTGATAAGAGTGGCTGACCCCAAGTAGTTAGGATTAAGGCGAGGAGGAAGAAAAAGAAGAAGTTATAAGTATTAATATTAATATTTATATTTATAATTAAGTACAGGAAGTACCACCAGTTTTCACATCTTTAATAACTTTTTATGTACCAAATATTTTACATAACTATTTTTTTTAAATAATTTTTAGTTTTGGATTACTAAATGCATATTTTTTCTTATTTGTCTCTAATAAGAAAAAAATATAAATTTAATTTTTTCAACATTTTAAATAGCTTTTTTTTAGTTTATTTTTACAAAATAAATTGAAAGGACAATAACAATTTTAAGATAAGTACCATACCACCGAGTTACAAAAATTTTAATACATGGATTAAGTATGTAACGTGTGAGTGTACAATTTATATTGATAAACTGTATGTACAAAAATTATGTAACTTAAAAGATACTTGTCCTAAATATATTATTGACCCATTAAATTTTTTTGTAAAAGAAGCTCTTAAATATGGCAATTTTGAAAATTCGAGAAAATTATATTAAAATGATATATTTAAAAAATATTTTTATTAAAAATAAGTAACTAAAAATATGATTTTTACATAGTCTAAGAATACACAAAAAAGAAAATAAAACCCTTACATATAAGAGTATGTGTAGATGAAGTGAAACTTCTTTCAGAGTCATTTTAGATATTATGAACAATTTTTTAAAGAATGACTGGAGGTGACGAAAAGGTGCTACTTTTTTTTATCACTAATCGTCTCCCCAATGTACTTTTCGTCCCGACTATGTATAGAAATGAGAATTAAATTTAAAGTACTAGACCAAAAGGTGTTATTGACCAGTCATTTTCTAAAATAGATAATTTTTTAAGTTAATTAAATATGTATATTATCAGAAATAATTCTAAAATGTAATTATTATCTGATAAATAAAAAAATTACGTAATTAAAAGAAATAAAAAATCATTATTCCAAAATTATATTTATTTTTCGAGTAACTGAGTGGTTTTTTATCTATAGAAAGTGATTCATAATAAATATCTTAATAAACCAATCACTTTGTTTAGATAATATTTAATTATATTATACATAATTATTTATAAATAATGCAATAAAAAATATTCAATCATTATTTTTATTGACAATTTATCTATTTCATTATTAATAAAAATAAATAAGAATAGATTTAATATAAATAATAAGTATTATCTATATTTATTATTACTAAATAATATTAAGAATTTTTTTCATTTAATTATATTTATTTATTATTATTAATATAATTATAAAAAAAAAAAAAACACATCATAGTAAAATTAATACCTTCTCAGCTTCGCATCAAAGCTAAAATAAATGTATTTAATTAATTTAAATTAAAATGTATGCAACTGTGCATTTTTTTTTAGAATTTGTGTAATTAAATTATTTAAAATAAAAAATGCAGTACATATTCACATTAATAAATTTATATGTATTAGTAATAAATTATTGTTATTAAAAAGTGTTAACATTAATTAAAAATAAATATTTTAATATGTATGCACAACATGAATTTATAAAACAGAGTTGTGCGTAGTATTAGAACTCTACATAACTCTGTGATCAAACTATATGCATAGTATACAAATATGTTCAAAACTTAAAAATAACTTAAGATAATTTAATAAATATGAATTTCTTCATATTCTTGCACATTAAACTTTTTGTTTAGAATAAAAAACAAACACGACAAATTAAAAAAAAAAATTTGTTTTAAATAGCTATTTTTTTGATAAGATTTTTGAACTATAAAAATATCCCTATAAGTTACAAACAAACTAGTTACAAATATAGATAGAGTGCGTTGTTCTCCCAAATACATAGTGTCTATATATATAACACATACTTTGACCGCGCTACATACACACACTTTGTATTAAAATACTTGTAACTCAACAAATACTTATCTTAAAATTGACCTATCAACTCAATTAAAAATTAATTTTTTTTTAATATTAAAATGTATTTTTAATGTAGTCCAAAATCATAAAAATTGAAAAAAAAATTATATAAAACAGTCACTAGATCAAAATTTATTAAAGATGTCAAATCCTGGTGGGACACCTGTAGAGATTTATAATATATTTAACAGTTTTCATTGTATAAAACTAAAATTTAGAAATAAAAGAATATTTTTAATTTCGGTTATATTTTTTTTTGATGATTTTAAGTACTATAAGTTCAAAGCCTTTCTTATATCTAATTTATATCAGACTATTGATGTTTCAATATATATTTTTAAGAGTAACAAATGGGACAATTAACTAAATTATTAGTGACATATTAAAAAGTCAAGTGAGAAGTAGCTTTGGTATTTTAAAAATATAAATTTGAAATATAGATTAGGCTCAAGTAGCTTAGAATATTGTAAATCATTTAACCTTAATGTTAAGGTAGAAGCATGAAATTTGGCACTATGATAGGAGGTCTTATAGTGTAAATAAAAGCTTGTAGCTTAAACAGCTTTGATCATTTTTATTTATTTTAAATTAAATTTTATAGGACCATCCTATTATTAATTAAGTTAAATATCAGTTAATTTGAAAATGCATAAGATGTAAAAATGGTAAGATGTTTTAAACACATGTAATTCATAAAATAATTTATTTTTTGTGCAAAAAAACTGAAGCTACTGATGACAGGTTAAATATATTTTATAACATTGACAAAATATTTTCAAATAAAAATTTTCAATTTTATTTTTGAAAGGATTCAAAGAAATTTTGTTTTATAAACATCATTTTTACAATATTATTTCTTCTATTATAACTTATTTCAATATTGTGGCAACTTAAACAAAGACAAATACTTCAAACTTAAGGGTTCACAAAATTTGCACAAAAATAAATTTCATTAAAATTTTTACAATTAAAATTATTGCAAAGCTCGATTTGGTTTGTTTAAAATATTATACAACCAAATATATATATGTTATATTTCATTTTAAAATCAAAAATGTACTATTGGGAATATGAGATCGTCAATATAACAAAAAAATATACAGAACATTCATTTTAGAAGGTTCCAGAATTATAAAAAATTGTTACATTATTTATTAGAGCTCTTATAAAAAATCATCTTTTATAAAATGTTTCATTATATTAAATCAAAGTGTTAATTTCTTTATTAATTAAAGTAAAGTGATCAATTAAATTTTAAAATAATAAAAAAGTTTAAATCTTACCAAATATTGTATGTTTTTTATCAAGCCATTGAGTAGGGGCTAAGGTGATGAAAAACTGTGATCCATTTGTGTTAGGTCCTGAATTTGCCATAGATAAAATTCCAGCTCCTATAATATAATAACATCTTGAAATTTTAAAGAACATAAAACATATTATATGTTAATAACTTTTATATCAGTAAAAATTTTATAACCTGTATGTCTGAGGTCTTCATGTATTTCATCATCAAATTGTGTTCCATAAATAGATGTTCCACCCCTACCAGTTCCAGTGGGATCACCACCTGAAAAAATACATCACAGTTCATACAAATTATAAGTAAAAATTCTTAGGCTATTGGTTTTGGCTCTATTAATGAAATATGAAATCACATAAAATTCATCTAATATAAGAAGTTTTTTTTTAATTGCAATAATTTTATGTTTTTAATATGATTATTAGAACTAAAAAATGATTAACTTTTTTTAGTCATTCTATAAGTGTGCCTGCAACTAACTTTTTCTTAAATGAATAATTTATTATTATAATTGTATTTTTATTAAAAAATATAACTTTTATCGTACAATAGAAAATTTACTAGGGATGTTCAGATTTTATTTTATATATCTAAATATATTGAGTCAAGTTTTATATTTTTAAGAAAATTGGTAAGCTCATTAAACAAGTTTTAAAATAAACTACAATTATTAAATCAAATTAATTAGAATTTATCTAGTAATTTCATCCATCACTATAAAAAAATCAGTAAGAGCTTAAAGCAGAACGTTGATACATTCCTAATCTTACCCAAAAACCTTCTGTTACTCCTCCCACACTTTTTACCCTAGTATAAGTGTCATCATACATATCCTCTATTATATTAATGTCCCTTTTAGCTTCGATGCGAAGCTGAGAAGGTATTAATTTTACTATGATGTTTTTTTATTTTATTTTTTTATGTCTGTTACCACTTTTTCTTAGATCTCACCGAACCAATTTCTTTCAAAGATACGTCAAAAGATCACAAATCATATATTCAAAGAATCATACTCCGAAATTGAAAAAGTTTCTTTTTTTCCCCTTAAGTGGGGGAAATCTCCAAAAAATTACAAATTTCAAAATTGCTAATTTTCAACATTTTTTTATTTTTTTTACTTAAAACTGTCATTACTTTTTGAAAATATATGGATCAATATAAGTTTTATTTATAGATATATGAGGTATTTACCTATCAGTTTGTATATTTTTTTTATAAATTTGACCCTATACCTGCCCACAGAAGGAATTCAAAATGACAACTTCTTTATAAAAATTAACTTTTTTAACTTAATTTTTGAAAGTGTTCCAGAAATACTGACACTTTTATATATATTCTTAATTAATGTTTATATAATATACTTTAATATGAAAAATATTCATACTCTTATTTGTTTTCATGGTGAAACAGACATCAAAGTTAATAAAAAAAATACGATTTTTGTAAAAAATTCTTTTTTATATTTTTAACTTTATAATGCTATCTTTTTGAAAAATGTATGGATCAATACAATTTTTTTATGATAAATACTATTTATATACTTCTTTCATTCAACATACATTTTTTTTTAAATCGGACCCTTTCACTTCAACAGTGGAGGTTCAAAACTTAAAAATGCGTATAGAAAGTAGAACTTTTTCAAATTATTTTTAATTAAAATATATTTATTGATTTTTCTAAGTAACATAATAATTAAACATAAATATTTGTAATATTAATTAGAAGGAATTTGTTAATATTTAGGCCAAATGCAAAACTCTAATTGCAGATTTGAAATTGACGCAAAAATGGGTTTAAAAAAGTATATTTTGGTCTCTGATGAAAATTCCTTGTAGAGCAGTAAATTTATTTATAAATAACAAACAATTTTTTTTTTTTTAAGTATTGCATCAAGAACTTAAACTTTTATAAACGTTTGCCATAAAAGTAATAACTACTTTATAAATTCTCCGTAAAAATGACTAAATTATTAAATATCAATTTCATACTATATTTAATTGCTATAATAAAAATTTATTCATATATTAAATTTATAAATCATAAAACTTGTGGTCAGGATTGTACTAAAACTTGTAATAAGGAAATAGGAGATCATGTTGCTCTTGAAATAATCCAACAAATTTTTAAAATTTTAAACACTTTCTACAGATTTGCATCAAAGTATTTTTTATGAAAGAGATTTTAATCACTGTTAAATTAAATCTATACTAGACCCAATTATGCCGCAACCCCGCTGTGCTGGGTTTTTTTTATTTAGATTTTAAGGAATACTTGTATTTGTTTAAATGGATTGTTATTAAACAAAAATAAAGAGTTTTGTTTGTATAAATAAGTAGATTTACCAATAATTATATTATTTGATGATTATGTTAATTTTCTCAAAAAATAATTATTCAATGTAATTTATGTGGTGGTAATTTTTAAGAATCAGTGTTTTTTAAGTTTTAATGATTACTTTCGTTCAAATATGTTTTATGTAATAGTTTTAGTTTTTAGATTAAAAGTACAAGCTTAACAAAACCTATATCTTTCAAATTGAAATAATTCATAAATTTCATATATATATATAAATCATTTAGGTGTTCATTATTAAATCATTGCTATGCAAAGTTTTTCTTTAAATATTATCTATCCTATTTTTCTTAAAATAATAATTATTAAAAAAAAATTATTTTTAGCAATTTTAAATTTTATATATTTTTATCAATTTATTAATCATTAAGTCAATTTTTAATTCATCCATTATAAGGGTGTTAACTATATTTTTTTAAATGACAACCATTCATATTTAACTAGATTATTAATTAAAAGTAATCTAATTAAGAAAATGACTGGTTGATAAAAACTTTTTACTCATTATTTTGAAAGTTATAACTGTTTTAAAATATAGAGTGAATGTGAGTTGTAAATTATGTTATTTTTATCATTAAATATTATTTGCCACGCTTTTTCTCTACTGTAAACTAAAAAATGTTAATAGCTTGTGCAGTATTAGTTCAAAAGTTGTTGTAGTCCAAGCATTTTCTCAATTAGATCATTTTTTTTTTGTAATATAGTTAAATAAGTAGATTATCATTAAAAAATAAAAATAAAGTGACACATTTATAAAGTATAAAGGATGAATTAAAATAATATTTAATAATTGATAAATCAAGAAATATATGAAACTAAAAATACCAAATAGAATTTTCTTAATATAATAATTATTATAATAGAGAAATTAAGTGACTAATTAAAATTTTTTTTAAAAATCGTACTTTTGTGGTTACATAATTAAACATACCATCTGGCTTATGTTTGACATATTAATAAGAAGTAAATTTATTGATTAATCAATTAAATTTATTTCTCTTAACACAGATATGCATTTGAAAAGATATAAAGACTTTACAATAAGATAAATTATTTTGTATTAGACTAAAAATATTTCAACTTTGAAAGTGTCAATTACAAAAAAATTTCCTTAACAACATCCATTTTTTTTTAATTAAGAAAATTTTATTAAATGTATACTTTAAGGATTTGAAGTTAGAAATAAATTCAGACTTGTACGTAATACAGTATGTAAAATTAAACATAGGGATGTATTTAAGAATTTTTGCCCTTACCTAAATATGTCTTCATTAGTAGTAAAAATTCTAAGTTTGATATTTTAAAATAGTCACTACCCCTATAAAAACTCTCAAATAATTAAGTTTGTAGATTACAATACTGATATCCCAATATTTCAATAATGAATTGTTATAGGTAATTTTATAGGCAAATACTTTAAGGAAATTCTATAAAAAATCATTGGTTATGAAAATATCAATAACAAAGACGTAATCATATATGAATACTCAGTGTATGTAGAAAGTAGTTTTTTCTTATTTCAATTTAAAAATTAACTGATTAACTTTAACTTTTTAAAATTGAATTATTAAGTAAATGTGATGGCTGATATGAGTGTAGATGATGTGGAGATTGTGTCAAGTGGAAGTTTAGGATAAGTGTGGCCGACCCCAAGTAGTTGGGATTAAGGCAAGGAAAAAGAAGAAGAAGAATTACTAAGTAAATGTATTTATTTATTACTATTTTTTGTAATTTATTTACTTAGTAAATGTATCCATACAAGTTATGAGTTTATTTTTTAACTTTACATACACGTAATTCAGCGGCAGTTAATTTTATGGGAGTTTACAATCGCCCATATAAAGATGTTAAGCTAATCAAAATGATCATATCCATAGTGATCAAGTCACCATGTGCAATTAATAAGGCAGTAACTCAAAATATTCAACTTTGATATTATGAGGTACTTGGTTTTACTTTTCTTATATTTTCATCAAAACATTGAAAATTTAGTTTGAATCGAAATTAAAATACTTAGAAAATTGATCAACATATAGAGTGTAATCGAAGAATACATTTTTTGTTGGGATCCTGATAAGTAAAAATGAGTTACTAGCTTATTTATTGCACCTATCGAAATGTTTTCTTATTACAATTTCTTAGAATTCAATATTCTAATTTTTATCACAATATGTATTCAGAAGAGAAATGATTATAAAAAACTAAATTTACCCACAACTTACCTTGAATCATAAAATTACGAATAATTCTATGAAATTTTGTATTATTGTAATACCCGCGTCTTAACAATTCTGCAAAATTACGACAGGTTTCTGGAGCATGATCCCAATACAGCTCAATAGTTATGTGACCCATTCTATTTAAATAAAATACTCATTAATAAAATAAATATTTAATGTAAATAATTAACAATTCTCACGAAGTTTCAATTATTCCATATTTCGGTTTCCAAGATTTATCCGGAATTCCGCCAACTCCATGAACCATAAGCGAATCATGCATCTTAAATAAAATCACTGATTTGAAGTTTTAAACATGTACCGATTTAATTAATACCAAAACGTTTATTTAAAATTATAACAAATTTTTATTAATACATAGTGAACGCGATAAAAATATTATGTTATCAATATACGATAAGAAAATCCAAAATCACTGTTATAAATAAAATATAAATAACAAGGTGAATCTTATCAAAAATTATGCAAAACTTATTTATAAATCAGTTTTGTATTAATTTCTACAAGAACATATAGGGCCAGCTAGAAAATTTGGGACTAGTGCGAGGGCACACTTTGCAGATACCTTACAAATGCCCTGCATATAGAGTGGATAAGAAGCGTGGGTGGATTAACCTCGTTCTGATGTATATTTATAATACATGTTCTAATTTACAATATTTTGTAATTTCAAAAAAATTTTCTTATAAGAGACAAATAATAAAATATATAAGTTATAAGAGTTGTGACTTAGATTTGTTTCACTCAACATATGATATGCATATAATCATGAAACAACTTACAGTAACTACAACAGTAGTCTACGCAGGGGTAGGGTTCTAAGGTTTTAACCTCTCCTCACGGAAATTATTTCACCTATACAGAGTGATTCATTTCTCATAAATTACTTAATTAAGAGGACGTTCTAGTAAAAACGATACGCATACAACGCTCCAGAGATGGCATTGTGTTCCATATAGGCGGCAAGGTAACACCGTCAGCCACTACTACCACACTCTAACAATCATCTCTTGTGAATCGTTGTAAACTGGTTCAGTGTTGTTGCAACCATGACAAAATAGATTTATTTTGTCATAGTTGCAACCATAGTAAAATGAATTAGAAGTATACACTATCATAGTCCGCGTTTTTATCGTATTATGCGCATATGCATCGCTTTGTGTTTTTGTGCATTCGTATACGATCGGTAAAACATGATTACTGTTGAATGCACTTTAAAAACACGCTTTTTTCGAATTGAGAATTCTGATATGATATCAATTATGGATATAATTTTCAAAACAACACCACATTCCATCTGTGAACGATGTGTGCACGTTTTAGTTGTTTTATCATAGTATTAGAACTATCTAAAAGTTACTACACCTATCATATAATGTAGGCCCACTGAGATTTTCTCGGTCATTCGTCTAGCCCAGTGGTCGGCAACCGNCTCAAAATATTCAACTTTGATATTATGAGGTACTTGGTTTTACTTTTCTTATATTTTCATCAAAACATTGAAAATTTAGTTTGAATCGAAATTAAAATACTTAGAAAATTGATCAACATATAGAGTGTAATCGAAGAATACATTTTTTGTTGGGATCCTGATAAGTAAAAATGAGTTACTAGCTTATTTATTGCACCTATCGAAATGTTTTCTTATTACAATTTCTTAGAATTCAATATTCTAATTTTTATCACAATATGTATTCAGAAGAGAAATGATTATAAAAAACTAAATTTACCCACAACTTACCTTGAATCATAAAATTACGAATAATTCTATGAAATTTTGTATTATTGTAATACCCGCGTCTTAACAATTCTGCAAAATTACGACAGGTTTCTGGAGCATGATCCCAATACAGCTCAATAGTTATGTGACCCATTCTATTTAAATAAAATACTCATTAATAAAATAAATATTTAATATAAATAATTAACAATTCTCACGAAGTTTCAATTATTCCAAATTTCGGTTTCCAAGATTTATCCGGAATTCCGCCAACTCCATGAACCATAAGCGAATCATGCATCTTAAATAAAATCACTGATTTGAAGTTTTAAACATGTACCGATTTAATTAATACCAAAACGTTTATTTAAAATTATAACAAATTTTTATTAATACATAGTGAACGCGATAAAAATATTATGTTATCAATATACGATAAGAAAATCCAAAATCACTGTTATAAATAAAATATAAATAACAAGGTGAATCTTATCAAAAATTATGCAAAACTTATTTATAAATCAGTTTTGTATTAATTTCTACAAGAACATATAGGGCCAGCTAGAAAATTTGGGACTAGTGCGAGGGCACACTTTGCAGATACCTTACAAATGCCCTGCATATAGAGTGGATAAGAAGCGTGGGTGGATTAACCTCGTTCTGATGTATATTTATAATACATGTTCTAATTTACAATATTTTGTAATTTCAAAAAAATTTTCTTATAAGAGACAAATAATAAAATATATAAGTTATAAGAGTTGTCACTTAGATTTGTTTCACTCAACATATGATATGCATATAATCATGAAACAACTTACAGTAACTACAACAGTAGTCTACGCAGGGGTAGGGTTCTAAGGTTTTAACCTCTCCTCACGGAAATTATTTCACCTATACAGAGTGATTCATTTCTCATAAATTACTTAATTAAGAGGACGTTCTAGTAAAAACGATACGCATACAACGCTCCAGAGATGGCATTGTGTTCCATATAGGCGGCAAGGTAACACCGTCAGCCACTACTACCACACTCTAACAATCATCTCTTGTGAATCGTTGTAAACTGGTTCAGTGTTGTTGCAACCATGACAAAATAGATTTATTTTGTCATAGTTGCAACCATAGTAAAATGAATTAGAAGTATACACTATCATAGTCCGCGTTTTTATCGTATTATGCGCATATGCATCGCTTTGTGTTTTTGTGCATTCGTATACGATCGGTAAAACATGATTACTGTCGAATGCACTTTAAAAACACGCTTTTTTCGAATTGAGAATTCTGATATGATATCAATTATGGATATAATTTTCAAAACAACACCACATTCCATCTGTGAACGATGTGTGCACGTTTTAGTTGTTTTATCATAGTATTAGAACTATCTAAAAGTTACTACACCTATCATATAATGTAGGCCCACTGAGATTTTCTCGGTCATTCGTCTAGCCTATCAGTTCACGTATACTCGCCATTCCACATGTTTCTCTCCATTTTTAATTTTTATACTCGGTGAACAATGTTTACTAAACGTACTTGAACTTAAATAAACACAATATTTAATAACTCATCGTTCGTAATTTACAACTAGAAAAAAATGATTTAAATAACTGTTATTTTAAAAGTTTTTTTTTTCAAAAAAAAGGCGCATTTTAAAATTCCTCTTATGTTTTCAAAAAAAAACACACCAAATGAAAGGGATATATCTAAGATATTAATAATAAAAAATTTGTTTGATATATTTATTTTTCAATAAGTTATGGCTATTTTTATCAAAAATAATATGAAAAATGTTGAAATTTGTCGATTTAAAGTCATAATTTTTTTGTTTTAAATTTTTAATTTTTTTTAAAAATGATATTTAGACATTTTTATTTGTTTTTTTAGCTAAATGTTTTTCTTAATGTATTAGTCACAAGATATTTTTTATGTTGATCTTAAAATGAACATAATACATAAGACCTTATGCATATTAGGATGTAAACATTATTTTTGTCCAATGGTAATATACATAAATATCCTATTTAATAGATAATGATCTGTAAATCATTATATTATACTTACAGAATAATAATTATGATAATTAGATATTATAAAATATTGATATTTTTAAATTTTCCGCCACCACGTTAACTTAATATCTATCAAATTAATAGTAGGTATCTAGTTGACAAAGGAACTAAATGACCATTGAGGATTAGTCTGACTTGGGATACTAATAATGTCGTGTGTTAATTTAAACGTATTTTTACGATATTTAACCGTCTAAGTATAGGAATACACCGTCTCATTACACAAGCGTGCGAGTTTGTAAAATTTTATGATTTTATATAATAAAATTGTTAATACAGTATTAACAATTTTATTAATATAGTATTAATAATACTATATTAATAAAATATCCATTACTATAAAATTTGAAATCCCACCGCATCATGGTAATTTTTTTTTGTCAATGCATAGTATCACAAGAATGTACAATAACTATGCGCATGAACACATTGCCGTGTATTCTGATATTTAGCAGTTATTATATAACACAGTTGTTTACAACAAACAACACAAGGGGAAAACATCTTTGCCACGAACTGATAATGCTCCGACATTTACATACTTCGACATTTGACAAAGTAGTAATTGTTTCGAACATCTGGTAATCTGACCATCTGATACCATAGGCTACTTTATCCACGACGGATTTTACTCAGACATTAAATTAAAAAAATAAGACTGTAAAAACTCCGAAATTATTGATAGTTTAATAGTTCGATTATGCATCAAAAGTTATGTTATATTTTGATTGTATTATTAGTAATAGGGCGCATCGATCGTATATGTTACATATCACTAAAGCTTAATGAAAATATTTTGAATGTGGCCATTAAATTAGATATTAAATTCACAGCTATTATGTTATGCATAACATATTTTTGAAGTAAAGCTTAAGAACTATACGATGGATAAATTTTTATTTTTACTGTAGTAATTTAAAGAGTTGTACCTGAAGATATTTTTTTAAAAAATAAATAATTTAAATAATAATATAAATAATTATTAAATTGGAAAAGAACTATAGATTTAATAAGATTAAAAAAAAACTGTCGATTCTACTTCACTGATTTGACTTAGGTAAAGGATGGGTGTCGTACATTGCTCGTATAGACCAAATCGTTTTCATATTGCCACTCTTTTGGCAGTTTTGAGATTCCCAGGTGATTAGATCAAAGTCCAACTGGTCATGTTACTTGTGTTATAATACATACACCACTCATTATTCAGTAGTCTATATGTTATTATCTATTAGTCATCAAATTAAATATATATTATTCATGTTAATACTTTAAACTATTCAAGAAATACGTCTAAAAATACATTGATATTAATCTACTGTAATAATTATAAGAAATTCTTTAGTTTTGACAAATTATCTATTTTAAGTAAAATAATATGTAATAAATAACACAAATTAAGTAATAAACAGATAATAGAAAAAGATCGTGACACTTCTTGCATAGATAGATAAATTAAATTTAATATAAAAGGGCATAAAAACTGTCAATCTCTCTCACTACTACTTCACCTTATGAACTTTTAACGGATGCAAGAAGTGGCTTGACAAAATACGATTTTACATAGAAAATTGAAGTATATTCATTTTTTCAACATTAGTTCTGATATCATTAAGGTAAATTCATATTATACAAAAGATTCATAAGGTTTAAAGTTAAATATAATGAGTACATAAATTAAGTAGGAAACCAGAAAATATAAAGTGATCTCTAGAATAAAATATTGTCTAAATAAATAAAGAGAATCAATAACGTTTGTACGAAGTTAGCCAGCCTAGTCTAATCTTTGAGTGGGTTACCTGTGTAGTCAATACTAATAAAGACTCTCTTGCGAAGATAGAGAACCCACTTGTGGTTCTTATACTACTCGAGGTATTTATTGACTCGACTCACAGTTAGCACAAGCCTAGATAACTACTGGTACGAGTGGCATTGTTGATGATCTATGTGTGATAATTAATCACAATAATTTCTATTTCAAATTATTATTATATTAATAAATTTTCAACATCACTTTGCTTTTTTATATTTTACATCTTCTTATAAACCCTCGTACTCATATGCCAAAAGAAAATTATATTATATCATTTTTTATTCAATAAATATTATAGTAACTCAATTATTCTCATGCTCATACAATACTAACAATTAACAAATAATTTTAATAAATTTATTCTTTAAATATTATTAATAAATCTTTTAAATAAAATTTCTTTTTTTTGAGTTACTATACTTGAGGCAAATTGTCACCAAGACAAATGAATGAATTCCTTGTTATCATCATATTCAAAATAGATTTATAGGAGTGAATTTATTAGGATGTTCTGCTATCAATATTCATTAGTAATGTAAACCTTAATGATCACGATTTGCACTGGTGTTCCGATTCAAAAAAAGGCTTGTACTTTCAAATATATCTGCAAATCGGGGAAAGTAGGCGATTTTAATGTGGAAATCTTTATCGTTTCTCAAACGCACAAAATAAATAATTTATTTGTACACAATTATTGTCTTTTATTGTGTACATAGGTTTTTTTTAATATGTAAAATAGAAGTGAAAAATTATTCGCTTAAGTATAGACAAATAATAATAATGGCAAAAGGCGCATTATCATCTTGCTATTCGTCTCGACTGTATGTTTTTTTTTGACCCAACGAACATGTGCTGAAAAACAATGTATTTTAACCTCCCTCGATATATAAGTTTTATAGATTCTAAGTTTCAAAGAAATTTTTTTGGTGCAAAATAAAAAAAAAATTATATCGATATGTTCATTTTTGAAAAAGTTACGGCAGTTTTTAGTAAAAAAAATTGAAAAAATTTCGAAAATTAGCGATTTTTAAATTTGTAATTTTTTTGGAGGTTTCCCCCATTTACAGGGAACGATGGAAATTTTTTCAATTTTTGAAGGTAATGTCTTCGACTAGATACGATTTGTGATCTTTTGACGTATCGTTGAAAGAAATCCGTTCGGTGAGAGCTCATAAAAAGTGGTAACAGACACAAAAAAAACACATCATAGTAAAACCAATACCTTCTCAGCTTCGTATCGAAGCTAAAATAAAATCACGTTTATTTTTATATTTGATTTGTCGTAAAAACAACTGACAAATCTTTAGGTAATCCTCATACAAATGAAAAAACTCAACCATTTTTTTACTGAATCGACTGCATATTAATCAACTCGACTTAGTTAAGTTTAAAACTTATTATCTTAACAGAAGAGTTAAGTAAATTTATGATTAATCATAAACTATTGTCGACTGTTAACTTATAACTGTCTTGTGTTTACTTAAATTGACTAGAGCGTAAAAGTATTGCAACAAAATATTTGGGAATTCTCATTTACATAATTTTTTACTTAATCAGAAAAATATTTCTATACAACAAGAAATACAAATTAATTCATTTTTGCGATATATTTTAAGGGCAGAAATTTTGGAGACTAAGCCCCCTCAAGACTCTTTAGATTGCGGCCAATCAAAAGATCGAATCCAAATTGGACTTAATTAATTTTGTTGTTCACCTTTAAACAATAAAATCATATTTTTGTTTGATTTTATACGAGACTAATTAGAATAACAGTTTTAGAGAATGGGATACCGAATACTTTTATAAAACATCTGTTTAATGACGAAGCCTATCCATCAGAGACATGCACACCTATATTTTTTTTTACCAATTAATAAATGAAAAAACTACAACTAATTAATTGTTTTAATAATGGACACTAATAAGGTGAGACAAAAAAAAAATTTAAGTCTGAAATTTGGAATCGCTCTTCTTCCTCCTCCAAAAAAAAAACTTTTTGAGGGCTTACATCAATTATATAACTGGGGTTGTTTTAATTTAAAGCCTCCTTCCTTATTTTAATGTTCCTATCGTATCGAAAGTCGGATGCAATTAGAGGGTTTTTATTGTTATAATTATTCGTTAATAGACAGTAATCAATTAAAACGATTTTTTATTATATTAATTAATATATACTAATTAGTGATAAGGGTTATATTTTTCCATCAGATAATATATTTTGCTACGATATTCATCTAATCCGAAATGTCATACTTTTTTAATCGATATTCAGAGCAATCAATTAATTGTCTTATTCGGAGTAATCATTGTCGTAGTAAAATCCAAATTTTTGTAACCAGGTATTCGCAGTAATTGTTGTCGGAGTAATTGTATTCGGAGGATTTTTTTACAATATCGGAGTATATGAATGTCGGAGCATTATCAGTTCGTAACAATCCCCGTAACCCGTTTACAAGATATATGATATTTAGACGCTTTTACCTATGATGTCGAATTTCACTGACAATAAACCACGGTATAAGTGAGAAAAAGAAATATAGTACCGGTGGTTATTGAACGGTTAAAGCACTTCTTGCAGTTGCGTTAAGCGTTACATTTTGTTCATGTTTCATTTGTTTATTGTTGGATTTCACTGTTCATGATTCATGCATTGTGCTAAGCGTGTGAATATTTTTTACCGGTAACGTCACGTTTCTGTTACTTTCTTTAAGCTATTTTACCAATCTAGGTTTTTCATAAATTTTTATTTAGATATACGAAAAATAAAAAATGGCAGTAGACAAAGGAGTAAGTGTTTTATGTGTTCATTTTTAATATCGTACATAATGGCGTCGGATGATTACTATTTTCCCGCTTTAAAACTAATACTTCCTCTCCAAAATAACAATTTTAATAACTAATGTTTGATAATTATTTCAATTAATTTCATTATTGTAAAATTAGCTATAATCAGCTTTCCAATAGTACTCGTACAGGTTTCAAATAACTAGACATGTATATAGGTTTTTTTAGCAAGTCGTTTTTAACTGAAGTTATTGACAGATTATTTTTTATCTCCCTTATTCCTGCTATATGTTTTACATGTTTAAGAAAAATTCTGAAATTTTTGTATGAATTTTAAATTTATCAAGTTTAAGCTTTTCGAAACTAGTATTTTTTAAGATTTAATTTAATTTACTAGATATACTTACCTTTGCTATTGCATTATCTAAGCTCTTCGTTGTTTTTATTCCTTAATTCTTAATAATTATTAAAGTATGATACTTCAATACTTTTAAAATTAATCTAATTTGAATTCTAACCACAAAGTATCTTTATCTCTAGGATGCACCTGAACATATTAATTTAAAGGTATTAGGACAAGATAATGCTGTAGTACAGTTTAAAATAAAGAAACACACACCTTTAAAAAAATTAATGAATGCATATTGTGAAAGAACAGTAAGTATATATTTATTTATTTCGACTAACTTTTGAATAAGATTTTAACAAATTTATTAATTTTCAATGAGTTACAGATGTATAAATGATTAGATAATTAGAATTAGAGTAATTTGAAGAAAAAAATTATATATATTTTAAAAAACTGCATCTTTATCTTTACCGTGTTATTGTATTTCTATAAATTAGTAGATATTGTCGTAATCAATAATCTTATTGATTACGACAATATAATATTGCAGTCAAGTTTTTTTAATAAAATTGTATTATGTATATGTCTTATTTTAAGTGTTACTGAAAATAAATCTATCTCAATCTATAATTTTTTAAGGTTGTATTATAACATTTTATTGATGTTTATATTTCTTCATATTGAAATATTACATTGTACTGATGTTTTGTTGAACAAAAATGGGTGGCTAATTTTGTTCAAAGCCCTGAGTGTACAGTGTAAATTTTTATAAGGCTAGCCTATGATTTATTAAATGGGATATGGAAATGGAACTACTATTTTTAATTCTATAATATTATAGAAAAATATAGTGATTTTTATTTAAGAAAATTTAAGTTAAATTTTTATTCCTAAAGGGATAAAAAGAGATGTAACTTTACAGGTAATTTTTTATCATAACCCATTCAATTACTTTAAGATTAAAATTAATTTTTTTTTTTACTTTTATTACATATTGTTCTCGTGTTTTTAGTTATCTAGTACTTTTTAAGTTCATTCCTTATGTTAACTTTGTTTTTTTCAAATGGGAACAAATTTTGAATTTTTTAAAATGTTTTAGGTTTTATTTGAATAATTTTAATATAACTTTATCTGTTTAATAGATATAAAACTTTTAAGTTTTGAATTAAGTCTGTTATGATAAAAAAATCACCTCTTATGTAATAATAGAGTTTTATGAACCAAATATTTTTTATTTTCACAAAAATTATAAATTCTCAATAGTTTATGAAAAAGTTAGTGCATTATCCTTAATTAACACATCATGTATATAGGTTTGTACATCTTCCAATTAATAAAAACAATTTTTATGTGATTATTATTTAAACACATTTGTAGTACTTAAATTGAAAAAAATAAATTTTTAGGGTCTTGCTATGGCTACTGTTAGATTCAGATTTGATGGTCAAGCAATTAGTGAAGCAGATACACCTTCATCATTAGAGATGGAAGAAGGTGATACAATAGAAGTATACCAACAACAAACGGGAGGATGCTTTTATTTTAACTACTATTAACTTAGTTTTTTTTTTTACATTTTACTTTATATATATATATAAGTTTAATACATATATGTATATCATAGTTATAATTTCTTAGGCGAACATAATGTTATTTGTCCAATTTTTTCTACTCTTTGGTGGTATTTAAGAATGTTTAACTAACAGACGCAAAGTAAAATTTTAATATTAATTAACAAAAATACTTGGAACAATATTTTCTAAAACTACTGATTAAATTTAAATCAAATAAACTTTTGATGTCATTAATTTTTTTATAAAACCTTTTTTTTAGTAATTTTGTTTATGTTAAATGAATTGTTAAATTTTATCAAAGCTACCACTGCAATTGTACTTATAATAATAACATATTCCATACGATTTTCAAAAGCTTTTCCACAAATTGTATATATTTTACTAAATATTGCAGGAGCATTTTCTATGCAATGAAAATCATATTCTTCATTGTAGTCTTGAATGCATAAGTATTTACGTTTGATTAAATCCTATCATCATTTAATATATTTTTATATAATTATAAATATAATTAAATAAATAATTCTTACTGTGTTAAATGCATTAACTGTAATATTGCAAGGTCCAATTTCTTCATGAATTCCTGTTGAAATTTCATTTTCTGGTTTTCCGATTAATGATAATATAAAAAATGTTGTGTAATATATCACTAGATAAATAGTTATTGTATTCATATTTTCATTATTCTCTTTGTGGTCGTTATTTTGTACTATTTTTATAATCTTAACTATTATATTGTATAATGCAATTAAGAATATGACTATTGTTTGGGTTGAAATATAAAAAATATCATGTAAAGGATGATAAAATATAGAAAAACATATAACTCCACATGGAAAACTAAGCATAATAGTTCTCATAAAAATTCCTATTTCTTTTTTAAATGAAATTTCATCAAATGTTACTTCCTTGTTGAAAAACCAATATGTAAAGGATGCAGAGGTTGTCATGTAAAAAAAATATGAAGTGCAGGGAACTAAATAAACACGATCAAAAATATTTGGATCTGTATCATGCCAAGTCCAATGAATGAACTTGACTCCTATCATATCAAAAGGAATATCTAAGAGTAATACATTTAAACCAACTGTTAGCATTAGACTAAGTTTTTTTATACCTTTTCTGTATGCTGTTATTATAGCTAAATAATAAAATACTGGGTCTGTAAAATAATAAAGCGCGTTTGACTATACTAAATTTTTATAGTGAAAATATGTAATTTATTTTTACTTACACACTAATAAAATATGTAATGGTAGTCTGTGACCAAACAACATGATTGGTGATTGACTATGCCAAAAATTATCAATTTCTGGCAGAAAATAAGATATTAATTCAATTAATAAACCATGACATGTTATGCAAATCCATAATGAAAGACGCCTCCCTTTATAAGTTATTGCTAGAAATGTGTATTTTAGTATTTATTTTCATTATAAGTTAATATAATAAAATTTACTTGCCATGAATTAAAGTTATCAGTGCTCCAATTATAAATAGTAACTGTACAATTATATATGTTGGTTGATTATTCCAAATTTTAATAATTGAGTTAAATGAGACCAATGGATACAAATGTATTAGATCATTCATATTTTAATTAATGTTGACTTGTGTATTTATGAAACTATACTACTATCAGAATTTTTTTTATTAAATTCGAAGTAATTAATTTTAATTTATCTACACTTGAAGATAAATATAGTCGTATTTTATGCATATAATTACTAAACATTTTTAATCAGTACTCGATAATGTAGTTCAAGATTTTATCCAATCAAAGTTTTAATTTTAATCGTAATATTACATAAAAAAGAAAATAGAATTAATATTAGTATACATGGTGATTGAATAATCGTTGACCACTAATATTTTTTTCTGGATTTATAAATAGTATAATTTTTTAGGTTTACCATTATACATAAGGTTACCAACTTAATTTTTCAAAATAGCAACATGCATGTGTAAATAGCTTTTATAAAAAAAAATGATGCAACTAAGGATATAACTGGTTAAGTACAATTTTTTAACCAGTTGTTCAAAAGTTCAGCATATTTTTGTACATTGATCAGAGGTGTAGTATGACAGATAAATGCGCGATGTTTAATTAATATTACATCGACCGTGTGTACAGAGTAAGACTTTCATTCAAGTCGGCAAGAATTCCTCCCGGTCCTTGAGGGCAACAAATGGCGTTGGGCAAGGCGATCCTTTATCGCCACTTTTGTTTAACCTGGTGATAGACTTCGGTCTGCGAGCAATCCCAGGCGCGGTTGGCTATATGTTGGGCAATGAGCGTGTGAATGCTCTAGCGTTCGCGGACGATGTTATTCTCGTGTCGGAGACGGCGCGGGGACTGCAGATGTCATGCGAAAGTTCACCGCACGATTAGCATTAGCTGGTTTGAGGCTTAACTCAACGAAGTCTGCTACTCTTACCCTGGTTCCTTCGGGGCGCGATCGCAAACTAAAGGTGGCCGCCACTTCTTATTCCCTCGGGGTTCGTCGTTGGCGGTGACTCAGATAGGCGAGTTCTGGAGGTATTTCGGCATACAGTTTCAGGGAAATTACCTATCTGGATTCAAATGCGCGTCTTTTGTCAGCGCTCTGGAGGCGCCCTATGACGCCGCAAATGAGAATGGCAATCGCACGGGACTATGTGATTCCAAAGTTTGTCCACGGGCTCACTTTCACAAAGCTCCCCGATTGTAAGTTAAGACAGTTAAGTTACGAGACTAGACGCGCGATTCGGAGATGGTTAGATCTCCTGACTTTGTGCCCCAACTTGTACATCCATGCCCCCACGTCATCTGGGGGCCTAGGGATCGCTGACTTTGAAAGATTCGTCCCTAATAATCGGTTCGCTAGGTTGACTAAGCTCGAACATTCGCAGGTTCCTGCGGTGTGTGAAGCATTTCGTCTCTTTGGGGCGAGTGTGGTAGCAACCCTAAGGCGCCGTGTAGATAGGGTCGCAGCGATGACTAGTCACCAGGAACTTCTCCTTAGTTCGGTGGATGGAGCTGATCTTAAGCTTTGTCCTGGTAGCTGGGAATCGACAGCGTACATGCGCAGGCCGTATGGTATAACCGGCCGTGACTTCAAGCAGTACGCCAAGATTAGGATTAACGCCCTACCCAGCCGCAAGCGAGTTGGACGGGGGCGCAACATCCCGGGGTTGTGTTGCGCCCTCTGAGACCCTTGCGCACATCGTGCAAGTGTGCCCTAGAACCAGTGTTGGGAAAGTTCCTTTTTAAATGAAACTCGTTCCGTTCCCCGTTCATTTTCTAAAATATGAACTCGTTCCCGATCCTAGTTCTTTATATTAAGAAGGAACTTGTTCCAGATCCAGTTCCTCCAAAATAAGAACTCGTTCCACTCTTCGTTCTTTTTATGTAACCAAGTTATTTAAAAAATTGTGGTAATGAGATCATGATAACGGTCATCAATGATTTTCATCAGCAGTCGAATACAAAACAAATTTGTAGTATTCCTTATCTAAAAGTATTCGAAAATTATATTTATAAGCAGGTAGTAAATGCTAACGACTTGTGTCAACGCGACCAATGTCTATTGTCTACATATAAGTTAGAAATAATAAATCAGAAAACCCAAAACCTTTAACATATATTAGTTAACAAGAATCGATGATAATATTTAGTGCATTATTTAATATATGTACACATATATTAAATATTTACTGTATACCTACATGTGATAATAACTCTATTTATAGTCAATTGATTCATTTAAACAGCCTACGATCTCGGCTGGGTATATAGGGGACTTCCATTGTCAAAAGTCAACTAAAAATACCATAATATTTTAATGTCTAGATACGAAGAAAACTACACTAAAACATGTTTATAAAAAATTTTAGGAACTGTAATTTCCGTTCACGTTCCTTAAAAAATGGAATTTGTTCATTTTCCTCGTTCCTTTATTTTAAAAGGAAGCAGTTCCTAGCATCGTTCCTTCAAAAAGAACTCGTTCCAGGAATCCGTTCCTTTTGGAACCAGTTCCTTCTCAACACTGCCTAGAACTCATGGAGGCAGAGTTCTCCGACACGATCATATTGTGAAGCGCATAGCTGGAGCGCTTACCGAAAAAGGGTTTCGAGTAGAACGTGAGCACCTATACGCGTTAAGGGATGGTAATCTCAAACCGGACCTCGTCGCGACTATCGATGATGAGACAAGAGGTACGAGATCCGTTATCCTGGATGTACAGGTTGTTTCGGCCACAAACACCAAAGATTGGCACGAAGAGAAAGTACGAAAGTACGCCAGCCGCCAAGATTTAAAGTTCGAAATCATGGCGAGACATCAATCGACTGCAGTACACACAGTCGCCGCGATCATTACATGGCGAGGGGTATGGCTACCTAGCTCACTTGAGAGCCTCGAAACTCTTGGGTGGACTTGTAAAGTCAGTCCTCCGCGATACACTGCTGAATTGGCATACGTTTAATAGAACGACTAGGGTGTTTGGGCGGGTTGGCGTTAGGTGAACATCGCCGTCCCCTCGCGACACGGGAGCCTCCTCGTCTCAAAGGTGTGGGTCCCTTAGGCCCAGACCACTTTCCTTTCACTTATTCCATATTCCTAATTTTCCGAGTATAGGCTATTGAATGATGAGTAGCCTCGGCCTACCTCCTTTTCCACTAGCTTTCCACGGGGTAGAAGCCGCCTCATCCAAAGCGACCCAAGTAACTATGAGGTACTCGGGCCGTTGGGGCGTCTTTCTGATAAATGACTTAACCTGCACCTCGCATCCAGTCTATAGACTCAATATAAATATAGCTATATTTTAAATTATTAATAATTTCTGATTTACTGATTTAGAAGTTGTTTTAAATATTTATGTCGCTATTAAAAAAAAAAAAAATTTAGAGAAGACAGTATAAGGAACGAAAATATAAGGAGGAGTATAATTATAGCGTTAATCGTGGATAAGATTTGAGAAAAAAGACTTTGATGGTTTGGTTATTTTATGAGGAGAGAGCAATCGCTAGCTGTAAGAAGTTATAGAAATGAATGTTGAAGGTAGAGGAAGACAAAAAATGAAATGGAGCTATGTTATTGAATGCAATATGAGGACGGCTGATAATGAAGATTGTGTCAAGTGGAAGTTTAGGATAAAGGTGGCCGATCCCAAGTAGTTAGGTTAAGGCGATGAAAAAGAAGTCCTAGATTTCACAAAAATTAACTCTAATTCTAATAATACTAATAAGCATATTAAATATTAATAAGTTAAAAAAATGTATTAATTGTAAAGTGTTTAATAATATATATTTCACTATTAAAGTTTTACATGAAGTATAAATAAATAACCTATAACTTGAAACAGTGTCATTATAATTGACAATAACTTATATTTTTAACATAAAATACTTTTGACTAGATATTCAAAAAAAATAAAATTATCTATAAATATTATTGTACTATAAAATTACATTACTTTATCAGTTTAAGATAGTAAATACAATTCATTAAATATAAATTATTTGATTGATCATTTGAAAATTGGCTAAAAATTAATCAGTGTATAAAACTAAGTAATCAAGATTTAATTTGTTAAATTTTGAACGATTTTATATTATGTGTCAAAAGCGTTAGATATTCTATGATTTTCAATTATATTTTATACACTAATCCTCAATTAACCCAAACATATATGTAGAATGAATGTACGTTTAGAATACATAATTACATTTATGATGAACTTAAAAAAATTTCTTGGAATGTTTACGGATGTATGAACGTTTTCAGTTATTGTAACTATACTGTGACAATCGCCCCACCTTGTAACTATTGCTCTGAAAATGGACTCTTCAATGAGTCCAAAATATCAGCTCATAACAGAAAACGTGGATACGTCCGTAAAAATTTCAAGCAATACGACAATCCACGAAAGTATTAACACATAAAAAAAAAATTATTTATAATAGAAAAATATTTGTTAAGAGGGCACAAAATAGTAGTGTTAAAATTAAATCAATACATTTTTTATCAAATACCATTATGTGAAAAATGTTAAACTACGTATATTATAGTACATGAAACTATATGAATCTTCTATTTCAAAAAAATATGTTGAATTTTTTATTTTTATCAACCATTTGATGGTAAATTCAAAAAAAGTAAAAAGAAAATTGATTTAGGCACTTTTTTTATATGTCAGATGACATTTTTACTTATTTTTTTTTCCTTTACGTATAAAACTAATGAAATAAAATTATTTTTCTTTTAAGCTCTCTAGATATAAAAATTTATTAAATTGTCAAGAATAATAATCTATATGTTTACTTTAGATAATTAAATCTAACACATTGAACCTCAGTAATTAAAAATAAATATTTTCTTAAGTAATAAAATTTCCATAATTATTTTCTTTAATAACACTATTTTCTAAATTTATTTAAATAAAAAACTTGGACATAAAATTAAAAAACTGTTCAATCGACATTAAAAGTATTTAAAAAATATTTTATTATGACTAATTTTTTTATTTATGGGTAGTTATAAAAATTGTCATTAGTATTTTCATAAACGTAAATAATTAAAAAATAATATAAATTTAGATTATATTTTTTAAATATTTTGGCATACATTTGTGTTTGTTTATGTTTTGCTATAGTAGTCATTTACACTATCTTTTAAAAATATTTACTTCATACATAAATAGTATTAAGTATAAATTATAAATCAAATGTACCATAATTAAACATTGTGTTATTAATATTAAAATAGTGTATTATCCATATTAATAAAGATGGATATTCTACAACTGACCATTATAACAATTGAGAAATTGAATAATGAGTAATAAATATTCATTAAATAATATGCGTATCACATAGTGTTTCATAAGCTCATAAATTAACAATTACAATATACATTACATGTGCTGTGAAGAAATAATAGCTAAATTTTTAATTATACTATTAAATTAACTTATTCAGTTGTAGGATGTTGATGGAGGAACTATAACAACATTTCCTAAATTGACACTAGAAAAAAAATATTATTATATTAACATATTTTAATTAAGACATGTACAAAGTATAAAAATGAACAAAATTTATATCTTAAACAGAATGGCTGAATAACTATATTACAAAAATGTATCGCCAGAAATAGGACGAGACGCAGACCGCCGGTATCAGCATATTTTGTGGAGGGACACAGTTGAGTGCGAGATTATTGAATATGAGTTATGCACAGTTACGTATGGTGTTACTTCAGTTCTTTATCTCGCTAAAAATTTCTTACATGAGCTAGACGCTCAAAATAGGTCTGGTTTTCCTGTAGCAAAAAGTGTATTAACTAAAAAATAAATCACGACGATATTGTGACAGGCGCTGACACCGTTGATGAATTATTAAGAATTTAGAGCGATTTGATTGGACTATTAAAAGACACGTGGCTGCTCTTTAAAAAAGTGGACGAGTACTTCGACAAGTAAATTGTGCTGATCGCTCAGCACTGTTATCTTTAGACCCAAAGAATACTGATACCTCTGTGAAGGTGTTAGGTATGCATTGGGATCCTACATCGGATATGTTTGCCTATCATACTAACATTCAATCTGATCATCCTTATACGAAACGCAAGGTACTTTCTACATTTGCTAGACTCTTCGATCCTATAGGTACGCTTGTACCCACACTCTTATGGGCAAAATCATTTATGCAAAAGTTATGGCAATCTGGTCTTGATTGGGACAGTCATCTACCTACCAGAGGAGTTAAACACGTCATGGAATCAGTTGGTAACAGAACTGCCATTCATCGACAAAATAATGTTACCTCGACATATTGACATACGCGCATATTCAAAAATAGAATTAGTAACATTCTCCGACGCCTCATTACGTTGTTACGCGGCTGTTGTTTATTTGCGGGTAGTAGACATCTATAGTCATGCCACGATAAGTTTTGTCACATGTAAGACCAAGGTAGCGCCAATAAAAAGCAGTAAGTGTCAAATTACGGTGTTGCGCTTTGAATTATATGCTGCTTTATTACTAGCTACAACGTTAAACCGCGTAAAAAACTGTTTAAACATTGATATTTCAAAGATCTATGCGCGAACCGACTCAACCGTCGTGTTATCATGATTAACCGTTAGCCAAAAATCCTTTAAAGTATTCGTAACAAACAAAATTGCTAAAATAGAGCAATTAATACCGGAGTGTAAATGGTTTTATACCAACCCGGTCGATAATTAGCGGACCCGGGACATGGCGCGGTCTACTACCACATAATACCGTATTATGCCACATTCATAGACGAGGACCAGCGTTTTTACGATACCCGATGAACAATGGCCGCGGCATAATTATGAACTATTGAAGCCTGAACAATTGCTGGATTATCAACAAAAGACAGTAGTTCTCACTACCATCGACAAAATAACCGCCGACGATGAAATTTTACACTGCATTACTGACACAGGAAGAACATTTCAAAAATTTCAAAAAACAATTGCTTAAGCGGTTATATACTTTTTTATGTGGAAAAATTTCAGTAATTTTGAATTTTTTTTTGGTATGCAGCAATAATTCTATTACATTGAAGATTTTATTTTTCGATAGTACTATTTTCAACAAAGAAAACAAGCGTAAGCTTGTGAAAAAATATTAATAATTGGCGGAGTTCTGGCCATTCTCCTGGAACCCCTTTTTTTGAAGAGGCTTGCGGTGATCACGATGCAGTCCAGCAGGTCAACTGAAATCATTAATCCCTTCGAATTTCATTAGGAGAGGGACGTCGCTAGTGTGTAAACGATTAGTTAGATAAATATTTTGTTTTTTCTGCAAATGGAACGTTTTTCATGAAATTCGATTTTTTTATCCTTAAAATATTCATTTAAAAATTTTTATTTTCAACATTCCATTTTATGGAGAGAACGCGAATCGTTCAAGTACTGACAGAATTCAATACGGACAATTGCATAAAAAAATGATGAAAATCGTTTGAATAGTTGATCGGCAATCGCGATCACGGTAAAAGCACTTTTCGAAATTCATTATTCTGAGATAATTGCGTTTAAAGTTTTAAGTCTGGTGTATGTGAATATACATTCGCGCTTCAAAACGATGCAACTTTTCATCTATTGCTCAGATCTTCATAAAAATTTGAGAGAATGTTGTTGACGAGTCGTACAACATAAAGCAATAAAATTTTTTATGATATTTTGAAAAAAAAAAGATATGTAACATCTTAATCAGAATTATGTCTCACCAAGCTCTATAGTTCAGCTAGGGCCGTCTATTGTCGCGACTGGTCTAAATCGTGTCGGCATCCGTTTCCGCTACGCGTCGTTAGGTCCAGATTCGAAAAATTCGATACTGTTACCTAAAAATTCGCACCTTACGCGTTTAATAATTCAACACTATCACAACGGATATTTACATGCCGGACCGAGCTGATTTTATCAATGATACGAAGAAGGTTTCCGATAGTTTCTGGTCGTGAAGCCGTACGACAGTTTATTTTTACTTGTATAAGTATTAAACTTTATTATTTACTTGTGTAAGACATAAAGCCGCTCGTCCAAACCCAATGATGGGAGATTTGCTAATTTCTCGTGTTCTTTCACAACGTGATTTTAAAGACGTCGGCATGGATATGGAGACCCCTATTTGGTAAAGGAACTACGCCATCGCAAAATTAAAATTATGAAGGTATACATCGCGCTGTTTATTTGCACGACTGTAAAAGCAATACATAATATCGAAATCATTTTTTTTTTATTTTATGATTGAATGGGCTTTTATGAATGGAATTTTATGAAAAGATTACAAGACATAACTATTATTAAAAATTTAATTAAACTTTAATTTTATAAATTTCCTATTGTCAAAACTTTGAGACGTAAATGTAAAAAATACCATTTTTTAAAAATTTAACCTCTTGGGGCGCGGCTTAAGGGCAGATCAATGTTCACGAAAAGTACAATTATCATATAATGTTCAGGGGCATAACGGGGGGAAGTAATGGCTTTAATTTCAGCAGCTCAGAAGTTAACCTCTAAATATCTCTTAGAAATATTTAAGCAAGGGTATGTGAATACATAACTTTTAATTGTTCGCACAGGTTAAACAATTTTAAATGTATTTAAAAAATATTTTTGTATATCAATTTGTATACTATTTTTAAATTTTTTTAATTTATATTAATATTAGATAAATTTGATTTGGTTTGGCTTTTTATTAGTTACAGTATTCTATAAAGGCGTTTAAAATTTGTTTGAGATTGAGATGCTATTTTGGCAAAAAAAATTTTCAGCGCAACAAATTAGTGAATTTCTTTATTTATAGTTTTTCAAATTTTCAAATCTTCAAAAGGTTTGGATAGGTTAGGTTGATAATGAAAACATTGTTCCCGAAATACGTTTCCTTGATTTTGCTAGTAATTTCGCGTGACTTTTTGAGATAAATACTTTATAAGTTTTAAATTAATAACTTTTTTTTATTTTCATAATGTAAAACTTTGATACATAACAAATTTCTAAAAAAATAGCGAGTATTATAAGTTGATTCGAAAACCATTTCCAAGCGCAATGGAATAGGTACTGAAACTGCAAGTAATGATGGGCAATATTTATCAACTTAATATGACATTGATTTTTTTTCTTTGATATATCAATATATCGTAATGATACTATTAGATATGCATAAATATCATTTTTCTCATTAAGCCTATCTCAATTTTTTAATTAATTTTTGCAATAGTATTTCCTTTAATTTACTTTGTATGTGTCCTAACAGGTTTTAACATTTTTAAAAACTTTAGAACCAGCAAACATGTTGCGTTACTTTTTTTTAAATAATTTTTACAGATTTGGAGTATATTAAAAACATATGTTTTATTATTTATTTCTAATAAAAAAAAATAATTATTTTATTTTTCACACTCAGGGACGGTGTGGCCGAGTCGGTAACATGGCAGTGTTTAACCTGCACTACCTAGGGTTCAAAACTCAGACACGGGTGGCTACATTTGCCGAATGAGAGATCAGTTTGGTAATTTGAGTCACCATCCCTCTCGGCGGATTAACCACCCGTTCCGGAGTATCAATGGTTAAGAAATCTCCTTATTTGGAGGAGGCCGCTATGACCATTAAAGAACTGTTAAAGCAATAAAAAAAAAAAATTTTACATTAAAAAATATATCTTAATTTTTAAATTTTAATCAAAATTTTAAAGTACGATTTTTTATTATATTTTTATACAAATTTTGTCGTGTTGTAAACAACTTAAGGATGTGTACTTAATGAGTTACAAGCATTTAAATATATAGAGTAGGTATGAATGTTAAGTTGGTGGGTACACTTGTACTGGTGTACACATAATCCACATGTGTTTCACACCAACTCTATGTATAAAAATGTTTGTAAATTATTGATTAGAACTAAAATTATTATTCATAATGTTATATAACATTTTTATGAAAAAAAAACTTAAAAACGGCTTTTTTGAAATTTGGGAAAAAATGTTTTTTAACATAGTTTAAAACTCTAAAAACTATTTTTAAAAAAGTAACAAAATATTCACTGGATCAAAAGTTATTGAAGATGTCAAGACCTGATGGAACACTACTATATAAAAAAAATATGTCAAAAAGGGTATATTGAGGGAGGGATTTATCCATCTAAATTCCTCTTTCATTTACCTCCTCTAACTTTTTTATATTCATACATTTGAACGTTTTCTGAAAACAAATCCGATAAAAATAATATATCCTACTTGTAACACTAATGTATTTTAAGATTTTTCAAAAATTACAAAAAAATATTTATAGTTAGTTCTTATGAATAAGTTGTACTAAAGCTATCTAAATAATATGCTTAAGAATAGCTTAATCAAAACATATTCATAAATATCAACTATAAATATAATCCTAAGAATCAAAAATATAATGTTAACATACCTGGATTTATATTTAATGTGAATGACCATAAACAAAAGGCCCAAGAAAAAAGATATGCATCCAGCTACTATATATGCATATCCCAGAAAATAATTCTTTCCTCCAGTAAATGATGTGTTAGATAATATAAAACTCTTAGTTCCTCCAAATCCAGCTACAGGGTAATCTATTATTACATAGTTTGAATTAATATCTCAGTAATTTTTTTAATATTTAGAATATGATAATTTTCATTTTATGTTTTCTATCTTACAAGGGTTGGTCTGGCTTAGTGGGTAGAAATATATGTTTCATCTCACGGAGTCTTGAGTTTGATTCCCAGGGAAATATAAGGATTTAAAAATGATTATTATTTTTTTTATTAGATTTTCTATCTTAATGTATAATATAGTTTTTAATCAAAAGAAATGTATATTACTATTTTTAACAATTTTAAATAATTATATCAAATACTTGAGTAAATAAATAAAAATTTACTTTTGGAAGGGTATGTTTCTAAATTGTTAAAAAGTCCATAGAAGTAAATACATAAATATTAAAATATTTCTTCATCAGAATATGGTAAAACTTTTCTAGTGATGACAATTTTTTTAAACTTTTTTTGATAATTAAAATAAAAAGGTTATTGGAAGCGGCAGAATTAATTACCTAGACAGCACAATGGCTAAATGCATCCCAGTGGATTTATAATGTAACAAATTTCATATTAATTAATGCAATTTATCATATTATACTTTACTTACTGTATTCTATGGACAATGTATAATTTCCTATTGGTAACCCATTTTTAAAAGTATCACTAGAATGATCTATTCGTCTATACAATTTACGAAAATCAGGTAATGCAGCTGTGCGCATCCAAACAATTAAATCTTCGTTCTCAAAACCATTATTACTAGGATTTTCTATATCCAATTCCCAAATATTCAAGTGCCAATCAACTGGTTTTGCATAATCTTTAAATGCTTAAAAAACATCATACTTTTTTCATTAATATTGAAATGTTATTCTAATATTATTTTTTTATTTATTTACATTTAAAGGATAAGTCTTAGTTATAAGATACAGGTAGCCGAGTGGCGGCGCAATTAGGGGGTCCTTGGGTCCAGAGACCTATGAACATAAAATTATTGAAATGGTAGTGGGTAGTGGAGTGGTGGATTTCTCTACTATTTTACGTTCTTTAAGTTATTTGGACTCCCATAAAAAATTTTGAATTGCATTACTGACACATATTACATAGGTATACAATTAATAATATTTACATAATAAGATAATTTTTTCAAAACAAGAAAATAAACAAAATAATTAAATTAATTACTAAAAAATTAAAGAGGAGTCTGTATTTCTGATACCTATAGATTATAGGAGAATTAGAAAGCAATGAATTGAATAGCCAAATGATGTTAGAATATATAAAAAAACCAACACCAATATCTCATTTAACTATCCATTTTCCATTTGTAACTATTTAAAATCATCCCATAACTAACCACGAAAAAATTTAATTTTGAAATGTTCATCTTTTAAAAATACTTAAACATACAAAAAAATATAGAATAATTTTGAGTTTTTTTTTCATTTTTCGCTTTGATGCGAAGCTGAGAAGTTATTAGTTTTACTATGTGTTTTTTTTTTGTGTCTGTTACCACTTTTTCTCAGCTCTCACCGAACCGATTTCTTTCAACGATATGTCAAAGGTCACAAATCGTATATATTCGAAGATATAATAGTCAAATATTGAAAAAATTTCTTTCATTCCCTGTAAAAGGAGGAAATTTCCAAAAAAATAACAAATTTAAAAATCGTTAATTTTCGACATTTTTTCAATTTATTTTGCTTAAAATGGCCAAAACTTTTTTAAAAATGATCAAATCAATATACATTTTTTTTTATTGATGCATAATACCTATAATTTGGTATATATTTTTTTATAAATATGACACTTAACCTGCCCACAGGGGGGATTCAAAATGACAATTTTTTCACAAAAAATTAACTTTTGAAAGTGTTCCGGAAAATCTGACACTTTTATATATATCTTAAATTAAAGATAATGTAGTATACTTAATTATGGAAAAAAAAATTCCGGACTTTATTTTGTCTTTACAATGAAAATGGATACCAAATGCTATTTCTATGTGAAAATTCTCGATTTTATATTTTACATATTTAACTTTATATTTATATAACTTTTTGAAAAATGTAAAGATTAACATATGAATGAAATGAATGTTGAAGGAAGAAGAGGTAGAGGAAGACCAAAAAAGAGATAGAGAGATGTTATTGAATGCGATATGAGGACAGCTGATATGAGTATAGAGGATGTGGGAGATCGTGTCAAGTGGAAGTTTATGATAAGGGTGGCCGACCCCAAGTAGTTGGGATTAAGGCAAGGAAGAAGAAAAATAGAAAAAAATTAAACATTATTTAAATAATTGTTAATAGAGCTATTAATGTAATGAAAAATAAATAAATTTAAACTTTTATTTTAAAGAATGGAAAAAGAACATTTTTTCAAAAGCAAATTTTCCTAAATTTTTATAATTCATTACTGTAGGGAATGACAGTTTTAAGTGATAAACCAGTAAGACTTGAATTCAAAAATGGTATCTTTAATTAATACAATAGTACATATATTACATTTCTAAAACCAAACATTTATAAAAATAAACTAAACTTAGATTATTTAAATCAATATAAGCCATAATTCTATAATAAGTGTCTGTACCACTACTCTTCCAATTGATTTGAAACTGTTTCCACTAGGATTTTAAGAATTTAAATACTAACAGTTTTTTGAATTGCTAATAGTGGATAAATTTTTATTATGAACTAGCATACTATTTTCTAAAATAAAAATAAAAAATAAAAAGTTACCAATTTTTAAATCCCCAGGTGGATTTTGATACTTCACATTTTTATCCGATGGCCATGCTATTCCAGTTCTCAACAATGGTACATCTATTGTATTGTATTTAAGTTTTAATACATCTAGATAAGAACAATACATTTGATCTATAAATGTTAATAATTCCATAACAATTTATTTTTAATAAATTGATCAAGGGTTTAGAGTTTAGACAAATTCATATTAGTCAGAAAAATGCATATTGGTATTTTTATTTGATTCAAATTTGTTTCAGTGTCTTTATATTAAAAATAAAATTTTATTTTGCACAATTTAGCTTCGATGCGAAGCTGAGAAGGTATTATTTTTATTATGATGTGTTTTTTTTTTGTGTCTGTTACCACTTTTTCTCAGCTATCACCGAACCGATTTCATTCAACGATATGTCAAAAGATTATAAATTGTATCTAGTTGAAGACATTACCCCCAAAAATTGAAAAATTTTCCTCGTTCCGTGTAAATGTGGCAAATCTTCAAAAAAATTACAAATTTAAAAATTACATTTTTTCAATTTATTTTACTTTAAATTGTCATAGCTTTTTTAAAAATGACAAAATCGATAAACAATTTTTTATATAGATATATGAGGTATTTACCTATCATTTGATATATTTTTTTTATAAACTTGACCCTTTACTTGCCCACAAAAGATTTTATTTGACATATTTTTTTTTAATAAAATAATTTTCCTATATTTATATATTATACATATATATATTACATTAATGAATCATAAAATTTGTAATCAGGATATATATAAGGAAATAGGATGTAGCTTTTGGAATTATCCACCAAATTTTCAAAATGAAACACTATCTACAGATTTGCATCGATGCGTTTTTTATGATAGTGATTTTAATTACTATCAGATTAAATGTATACTTGATCCAACTATGCCAGGTCACCACTGTATCACGACCCCCTGTGTTGGTTTTTTTTATTTTGTTAAAATATATTTTTTACACCCTTTGCCTAGTATCCTGTATTTTATATTTCAAAAATAACAATAGCTCTTATTCCCTTAATTTTATCCCGATTAGTTATTTGATTTATAATTATAATATATGAATAAATAATAGTTTTAGTAATAAAATTTAATATGAAATCTATATTCAATAATTTAATATTGTAATTAATATGAGAAATTATAAAAATAATAAAATAGTTGTATATTTCTTTACTTTTGACGCGTATAAAAATTTAAAGAGCTTGATGCAATACTCTTTAATAAAAAATGTTTGATACTTATGAACAAATACACTGAACTACAAGGAACTTTCATTAGAATCAAAAATATTCTTTTCTAAATCAACTTTTTGCACTATTTTCATATCTGAAATGAGACTTTTTCTATCACTTCTAAGTTTTGATATTTTTACTAACTATTAATATATGAGTATTTACATATAAAAGAATTATTAAAAAAAATAATTGTGTTACTGATTTTGTTTTTTAATATGTTAAAAATAATCAGTGAAAAATATTATATTTAGTCTTTTTTTTTTGGTTCTTTAAGTTAATTTTTGTGAATGTTTATAATAAAAAAAAGTTTGAAATTGAAAATTCTATGAGAATAAAACAAATTGTATTGTTAAGATTAATATGCAATTAGGAAATTGTGTAATTACTATTTACAGTAAATTTATAAGAAAACCTCAATATTTTGTTGTATTTTTATCGTAATAGATCACTTAAATAGAAATCATAGTAATCATTTCTAAGTAATTATTGGTGTTAAAAAAGATTTTACAACTGAAATATTCAGAACTTAATTTATTACATACCTAGATTTAAAACTTATTTTTTTTGAAAATGATACAAGAAAATCTAAGTTTTGCACTGTTTTAACATTTTATGGAAAATATTTTTCATATCATACTGTTATAATTACTATAAATTTTTTATATTATTTTGAAAAATTTTCACAATATTATCGTTTAACAGCATGGTATCAGAATAAAGATCAATAGTGATAAAAATAACCAATAAATTTAATAATAACTTTTTTAATATACATAATGTGTTTATGCTTACCACTAAATAAAGAATTGGCAATAGCTCCACAAGGTGCAATAGGCTTATTATCATCAAAATCATAAGGATGACAATCTCTTGATGGTGTATTACTTAATATTCCTAAAAGTTGAAAATCATCTCGTGATTTCACATAACGTCTATGGTTTTGATAATAATTGGTGAGTCCATAATACATGTAAACATTAGGCTATTTACAAAAAATATGTATGTTAAAAATTTCAAGTTTTTATATATGCTAAAAAGTGTTACAAAAGTCTCAAGAGAGATTTGAATTAAATACTAATATTTATAAATAAAATTTGATGCAATGAAATGTCATATAAAGTGCAGAAATATTTCATTTTAATGTCAAAAACAATTTGATCCTATTTTAATAAAAATAATATCATACAATGTCATGTTATGGAAATCAATTTTAAGTCTAATTGGAATTCATGAAACTTTTGTGACAGCTGTTATACATTCTTAAAGCCAAAGGATCAAACTGACTATAAAATTAATTCAATGTTATTGAATTTAAAATTAATAAATTATCTTAGTATATCTGTTTTATGGAATATTTAAGAATAATAAATTTATTGTTTAGTTTTTCATTAATCTTATTTTTTTTTGTAAAACAAGACATTGATCCTTTTGCTCTGTAAGTTGTATAATAACAATTAAATTATTCATCACATAAAAAATTTAAATTTCTATGTATGTTATTGTTGTAAAAATGACTGAAAACATAGTGTAATCTTACAGAAAAATGATTTTCTAAACTAAATGTAATTTTACAATCACAGCTCAAATTACGATAATTCCCTATAATGTCAGCACAGGTACGGGTCATATCACTTGAAGATTTACAGTAAGTGTAATCATAATTAAACTCTTGTACCTATAACACAATAAATTATAAGAATAATTGTTGAATATTTACCTGGTAATTAAATATTTACTTGATTTGTCAGGAATAATAATCCAATACCAATAGGTATAAATGCGATGGCAAGTGCAAAAAATATTGGCATTACATTACGAGCTGTAAGTATAGGTTGCCATGCAGGTAAACGTTGTTGTTTAAATGCTGTATCTAAAAATTATTTTTTAAGCAAATACTAATAAATTTATGTAATTTAAATTGTTATTATTTTATTCTGTATAAATTAAGTACCAGCAGGTTTTTTAGACTTATTAGGTTGATCTTTTAAATCCGACATGTTTCAAAATAACGTGCATAAACTTTACTTAATCAACTTTTAAGTCATAGCATCAGGAGTAAATTTTGAATTCGAACTAATAACTAATGACTTTATTTGTCTTAAGTAAAATTAAGGGTTTTTTAATGTCTGAACATAATAAGTGATATTAGTGATAACACTAGGAAATTAATTTATTGATCGCAAAATGAGATTAGAATTTTAATTTAGATTATCAATAATCGTGAAAACAGCTGATATAACATAAATCTTCGAATTAAATATTAGAAATAAATGTAGTTTAAAAAAAATAAAAAAACACGCTTTTATCAAAATAATACAAGTATTTTTCGTTCATCATTCTGCCGTGCTAAGCAAAAACAGGTTAACTCCAAAATTAAAAAATTTTTTTTTTTGTTTCTATAGGTAAATTTAGTGGTTTTACCCCGATTTTTGATGTAAAAATAGCATATTTCCTATTAAAACCCATCTAAAATTGAAATATAAAATAAGAAAATATACGGTAAGTTCAATATATTTGATGTTTTGTAAGCGAAAACACAGTAAATCCAAATACTAAACAAAAACTTGGTATATCACATAAAAAATAATGGAATTACCGTCTTTTGACTTATGTTCATATATGGGAAAAAAGGGTATCTTGATTTTTTTTTTAATAAAAATTAATTACCTCATTATTGTTGATATATGTGTTGGTTTTGTACGGTTTTAACAACATCATTGAAAGCTTGTTTTCAGTCAGCGGATTAAAATTAATTATTTTATTTTATTTATAATTTTATTTGCTTTTTCTGGTTTTTTTTTGTTGCTAATAGAATAATTCATTGTAGTATTTTATGTAGCTATAACAAATTTTGTTTTGTTCGGAAAATTTTTGAATATTAGTTAATTAAATTTGCTGTATGTTTGTCGGAAAAATTAATTTTTTTTTTTTTTGTCGGTGTGACAAACTGTCAGTAAATTCAACCTGCATCATTGGAGAATGGAGGTCGGTTCCACTAATTAGTGATCTCTATCGGTAAAGTTGCAGTCTTACAATTCTATGATCGGAGTCGGTGGTTTTTACATCGGATGTGAAAACATTTAGTAATCAAGAAATTTTTTGTTGTTGGAAATTATTATTATTTTTCTTTGATTTTTTTTTTATTTTATATTAATTTATTAGTGTNTTTTTCTTTGATTTTTTTTTATTATTTTATATTAATTTATTAGTGTTCTTCCGTGGTTTTACTTACTTATTTATTTATATATTTATTTTTTTTTTCTCCTTTGGTTGTTCAGTGAAGAGGTCTATATACTTATTTGGAAACCATGACGGAAAGAACAACATGTGCCAGGGATAAAGCGCTAACTAAGCGGGAAAGTCTGTTAATGAGTATTCGGCATACTTATACGTTAGGCACGGCAGCAGTAAAAGAGAAAAAGGATGTGGGACAATTTTTAATGATGGCTGCTGACATCGACGCCCTTTGGGAAGCATTTTTAGTTGAAAATGAAGCAGTACTAGACGCTATGATTGAACTTAACGAGTTGGACAAATTTAAGCCTGAATTGGAGCCGGAGATTCGAGCGTTGGTCCGCAGCGTATCCGCTATGAGAGCTGAGGTAGAACAAGATGGCATGGCAGTCAGGAGCAATTCAAATGGTATTCAGGAAGGAATTCAAAACACTGTGGTACCATCTATCGCTTTTCCTCAGGCTTCCACTTTGTCAAATGGCGTTATAAGAGATCCAAAACTTCCAACCATACCGCTACCTAGGTTTGGTGGTAAATTAGATGAATGGTCGGCATTTAGTGGGCGTTTTGAGTCTCAAGTTGTTCAGCACAATGAATTAAATAATGAAGAGAAATATTTCTATTTAATGGGTTGCTTATATGGAGAAGCAGAAGAAATTACAAAGGGTTATCATCTATCGACCAATAGCTTCACTCTTGCTTGGGCGGCATTGGAAGACAGATACAATAAACCGCGTCAATTAGCCAATTCTTTGGTGGAAAGATTGCTTAATATGACACGTGTGGGACAAGAAACGGTTGTTCATCTCAATGAGTTCTTAAAGGTGTTTGAAGATTCCATAGCACTATTACACACTCTTCCTATACCTGACGTGGGTGACTTTGTGTTGTTTACATTAGGAATGAGGTGCTTACCAATAGGTTGTAGAAAAGTTTTTGAATCAGAATGTGGTGGTAGCTTTCCATCGGTCGAGGACTTAATTACATTTGTGAAGGAACGAGCAAGAATCCTGGAAAACGTGGGAATTCAATCAGCAGATAATAAAACCACGGACAATAAATACAAATATGGCAAATTTAATTACAATAAGCAATCACTCACATCCAAAACTGCTCTTATTGCTCGCCAAACTAGTACCAAGGTGAATAATTTGGTTAAATGTTATGTTTGTGATACCCATCACAATTTACCAGATTGCGATAAATTTAAGTCTTTGACAGTTGCTGAGCGCTTCTCCATTGTTAAGGCTCATCGGTTGTGTTTTATCTGCCTTTCTAGTCAACATTTAGCTTTGAAATGTAAAGCTGCTAAATGTAATAAATGTTCTTTTCGTCATCATTCGCTGCTGCATCGGCTTGCTACAGAAGTACCTTCTCAAGCAGACAACAGTCCTGCCACCCTGATGGGTTCCCTGCCACATACAATGGTGGTGTTAGGCACTGCTCTTGCTCATGCCCGTGATTGTTGGGGTAATTCGCAAATTGTCAGAGTTTTGATTGATTCGGCTTCTCAGATTAGTATCATAACTGCCGGATGTGTAGAGCGTTTGGGACTCAGTCGTACTCGTTGGACCGCTCCTATCTCTGGCTTGTCGGGAGTTAATGTGCCTGGTATAGATGGTGTAGCTCATTGTACTTTAACCCCTCGGCATGCTGATGAGCCGAAATTACAATTTAAGGCATGGATATTACCCAAAATCACAGGAAAAATGCCTCACGGACCGTTGACTCCAGACATTCAGAACAAGTATTCGCATTTAGTATTAGCCGATCCTCAGTTTTATAAGCCAGGTCCCGTGGATATGTTAATCGGAGCAGATTTATTCCCTGCAGTCATGGATGGTAAACGTGTTGTGGTTAACGAAAGGATGCCAACAGCATTCGGCTCGGTGTTTGGTTGGGTTCTTATAGGAGAAGATCGCTCTACAATTACACCAGCAGACCAACAGCTTTCAATGATATCTTGCTTTCATGTATCCTTGGAGCAATTGATGGGAAGGTTCTGGACAATAGAGGAACCGGAGGAGGCTCCAATGCAATTTACAGATGAAGGACACTGTGAAGATATTTGTCAAAATGAAGTGGACCGGGCGGAAGATGGAAGATTTATCGTGCCACTACCTTTGAGAAATGGTTATTCGCCTGAGTTATTTGCTGACTCGAAGCAAATAGCTATTAAGAGGTTTCTGCAACTTGAGAATAAGTTATCCCGAGATAAAATGTTAGCCGAACATTATCAGGCCTTTATGCAAGAATATGAAGCACTAAATCACATGTCCGTTGCTAAAGAACCCGGTGTATATTTCATTCCCCACCATGGGGTGTGTAAAATGGTTGAAGATAAGTTGAAATTGCGGGTCGTATTCGATGGGTCGGCTCGTGGTGTATCCGGTAAATCACTCAATGATCTTCTGTATCCAGGACCAAAGCTCCAGCAAGATGTAGTAGACGTGTTGATCGGGTTCCGTTCTTATCGAGTTGTTTTTACGGCCGACATTTGTAAAATGTACAGACAGTTCTGGATCCATAAAAAATATCGGCCTCTACAACATATTTTGTGGCGTTCTTCCCCTAAGGAAGAATTAAAAGAATATGAATTAAATACTGTCACTTATGGATTAAACTGCGCCCCTTATTTAGCTTTAAGAGTTCTCAAGGAGATAGCGATGGAGGTACAGGATGAAGAGCCTGATATAAGTAGAGCTTTGCAAAGCTCCACTTATATGGATGACATCTGTACAGGAGCTCAAACCTTGGAAGAAGCTAAACGTCTACGTGACGCCTTAGTTCATGTGTTGGCAAAGAGTGGTTTAGAGTTGAAGAAATGGTCATCAAATTACAAAGAAGTTTTGGCTGGAATTCCTGTTGAAGACCAATCGGATATGTTGGATATTACGGTCTCAGACGGAGGAGGCGTAAAAGTACTGGGTATGCGTTGGCTTCCCAGCAATGATGAGTTTACGTATGACATTATACTTGGTGAGCGTGTGATGACGAAGAGGAGTCTGTTGTCGACCATCGGCCGCTTGTTTGATCCGTTGGGTTTGGTGGCTCCAGTGATCTTCTATGCCAAAAGTATAATGCAAGAAGTGTGGAAATACGATCTACAATGGGACTCTTCCTTGCCATCTAGTATCATGGAGCGTTGGACAATGTTCCTTGACGAATTGGAAGACTTGAAAACCATTCGAATTCCGCGAGTTATTTGTAGTCCCTCGCCAAAGCAGGTAACTTTGTGCGGATTTTGTGATGCGTCCACAAAGGGCTACGCAGCTTTAGTGTATCTGCATTCAGTTGATGATACTGGTAATATAAATGTTCGGTTAATAGGTAGCAAAACTAAGCTATCCCCAATGAAGCCTACCACAGTACCGCGGTTAGAGTTGTGCGCGGCGGTTTTGTTATCCAAGTGGTTGTCGCGTATTCATAAATTATACGCGTGGTCAGATTCAACGGTCGTATTGTCATGGATTAACTTACCACAGGTTTCATTTAAAATATTCGTGTCCAACCGAGTCAAGCAAATTCGTGATTTGTTACCCAATTGTGAATGGCGTTATGTACCTACCTCTATTAATCCGGCCGATTGTGCATCCAGGGGTGTATTGCCCTCAAAATTAAAATCTTCAGTATTGTATTGGAACGGCCCAGATTTTTTGAAGAACGAACCACGGGTTTGGCCGTCGTCTATTCCTGTTATGTCAGCGTCTGAACTGCCAGAGGTCAAAACTAATGCAGTCACGTTAGCGATCGTTGAAAACTCAGAGGTTGAATGGTTTCACCGATTTTCATCTTATACGCGTTTGATTCGAGTTGGAGTGTTATTGCGGCGTTTTATGTCCAAAAGTCGCGGGAGGACTTCTGCGTCGAACTCCTGGCCTCAGAATGAGTAAACAGCATCCTTGTACGCTATTGTAATGCACACACAAAAGTTTTTCTGAGTTAAAAATGGAGTTGGACGGAGGACGACGAGTATCATCAAGGTTGTATGCGAGACTTGCACTTTTTATAGATTCATTGGGACTTATTCGAGTCGGAGGCCGTATTAAACATGCGTCACTCGATACCAATCAAAAACACCCATTGTTGTTGTCTAGTCAGTCCCATTTAGCTTTGTTACTGTTCCGGTACTGGCATATTGTAGGTTGTCACTCCGGACCAAAATTTATGATGAATATGGTGGCCCGCCAGTTCTGGATAATTTCTGCACGGAAGGTTGCAAGAAGAGTAATTAAAGAGTGCGTGAAATGTGTTCGATTCGCCGCTGTAAATCCCCAACCTATGATGGCTCAATTACCGGCGGTTCGAGTTCAAGCTAGCCGTCCGTTTTCAAATGTGGGAATTGATTATGCTGGAGCATTTGCCATGAAAGAGCAGCGACTTAGAAAATCACGGGAGTACAAAGTTTATGTGGCCGTTTTCGTGTGTATGACCACCAAGGCGGTCCATTTGGAAGTAGTGTCGGATCTATCCACCCCCGCATTCTTAGCGACATTAGACCGTTTCGTTAGTAGAAGGGGACTACCATCACAAATCTATTCGGACTACGGAACCAATTTTGTTGGAGTAGATAGAATGTTGCGCCAGTTTGTAAACAACCCCGACATTCGTAATAATTGGAGTGCTTCCATACCTTGTATGTGGAACTTTAATCCCCCAAATGCCCCTCACTTTGGAGGCCTTTGGGAAGCCGCGGTGAAATCTATGAAGGCACTTCTATATCGGACTATGGGATCGCACTTGTTCACTCTGGAAGAGTTCGTCACTATTATTACCCGCGTTGAGGCTGTGTTAAACTCGAGACCGCTGACCCCAATGAGTGATGACCCAAACGACACAACGTGTTTAACTCCTGGTCATTTTCTCATAGGTCAACCACTTTTAGCTCCACCAGAGGAGTTAGTCCCTGAAACTCAACGCACGATCACTCAACGATGGAAGTTGCTCAAGCAATGCCATCAAGCATTTTGGAAAAGATGGACCGTTGAGTATTTGAATTGTCTTCAAATTCGGAGCCGATGGACTAGAGGCGATCGAAATTTGAAGGTCGGTGATTTAGTGATCATTAAGGAAGATCATGCACCTCCGTTAAGATGGCATCTCGGTTGCGTTGAAAAGGTATTTCCCGGTGATGATGGTGTGGTGCGGGTCGTCCAGTTGAAAACCATCAATGGATGGATAAATCGCCCGGTGGTGAAATTGGTGCCTTTGCTGTCATCTTAGTTCTTATAGTTATTTATTTATTTTTTATTTGTTTTATTCTTTCTTGTGCTCTTGTGCTCTTACCAACACATGTTTTCCATATTCTTTTCAAATACAATCTTACCAATTAATTATTAGGACCGCATCACGGGTCACGGGGATTAACTTAAGTACCCATCTGGTTACCAGGCGTTACCCATTTATGTAAATTATTGTTATACCTTTTAGTTGTTAAAAAATATTGTTTCTTTTTATGTGTATTTTGTATGTTTATAAAATTATATATTTATGTAAAAAAAAAAAGAAAGGGGAAGCACGTGCCACACTGGCGAAGATATTCTCACCTCGCTCCAGTCTGATCCACAGCGCAATGGATGTCCTTATCATCAAAAACCAATTGTGAAAACTATGTCTTCACCAGGGGGAGGATGTTCACGCCAGGCAGTAGTGCCGCCTCCGTGGTCAGCTGATACCACTGTCGGCCTTATCAGTGGAGCCGGTTCGGTGACCATCGGTCGGCGGCTGCCCGAACACGGTTTTAGTTTTTCTGTCTGTTGTTCGGATTATTATCTTTTTTAACCTCGTAGTTGCTTTTTCGGTCGGCGGTGCCCCGAGCACATGTTTTTATTATGTCGCTCGCTCGGATTATTAAGTCACAGTGGTGACTGTGTTGTTCGTTGTCGGTTATTCATTTTATTATTATTATTATTGCAACGGTTCGAGGGTCGCATTTCGAAGAGTTTCTTCGCCTTGGGTTTGTGTACAATTGATGTACCGGTGGAATTTGGTGACTATCATATAGCGGATCGAATAAGCATCGGCGACTTGACAATATTTAGCAAGAGGTGAAGAGAACAATAATCAGGTCGGATCGAATCAAAATATTTTTGTATATATATTTAATTTATTTGTATGAAACATTGTTTAAAGCAGGGGACGCCCAAACTTTTTATTATTATAAGCTGATTGTTAAAATATAGCATAATTATTTATTCCACTGCGTAATTGTGTGAAACAGATATATTGAATATTTATTAGTTTGTATATATATATAATAAAATTACTGTTTGGAATTGATATTATACGATTGTCAAGTAAAACCCGTAATTTATGTTAAGATAATTAACTTAACGTTAAAAGTATAAAGTCGTGAAATAATTTACTCTGGGAATTGTAAAGTTTCATTTCAATATATTTTTACAAGATATATTAACAACTACAGATATGTAATAAAAACTAAAGAACGAAAACCCAACCCAACCTGGTCTCCTGGATGATTCACCTATCCCCTCTACTTAACATTGAATCGCACCACAGCTGATTGATACACTCGCAAAATTAGTTCCTGCATATATTATCCAGATCCTTTTTCACAGTAATTCTGGAAGCCACGCGGTTTCTACGTACACACCGTCGAACGAAAATTACGTATGCACAAAAATACAATATGACCACCGTCAACACTTCTGCGGCATGTGTCCAATTCGTCGGGCAGCTGGACACACGGACCGGTTTATCCCACCGTAAGCTTCTAGAATTTTCTAAATATTTGTCCCGGGCGGGGAGATAAGCTAGCCATCAGCTGACTGCATGTTGGTACGCAACTTGTTCGAACAGATATTTTTTCTTGGTTTAACAAGGTGCCATCTCTTGCCCTCGGCCATGTTAGTTAGTCTCCTCCATAGAAATGACGGAAGGTTCGGACAGGGTCCAATCGCCAGGTTTGTTGTCTTCTCTATCATGCAATAATACTGACGGGAAAAATCCTGTTGCCTCATTCATTCGATTCTGAATTTTGAAGAGTATCGACAATATTTTAGTGTGCCAAAAGCGATGAATTTTACCCACTAAAAGTGCACGGAGTCCCTTTTTTTTTTAGCTCTTGATTGCGACTTTCGACTGGGTTAGCTCGGGGATGGAATAATGGAGTAGTCTAGCCCTCTGCCTCTCATTGCTCGAGTGCTCCAAGAATTTCGTATGAAGTGCGGTGGACAGCTGATAATCATGTTCAGATAACGTGCTAATTCACATTAAATGAATAGTGCGCTATTACCGGCCGTGTCATCATATAATCTGTGGTACTGCGGCAGTGCTTTATGCGCACTAAACTCGGTAACAGGGGGTTTTATTTGCCTGGCAAAATATCAGTTCGATAATTGGAGTCGCCATTCTTCTCTCCGGTGACGGACTAACCACGCGTCCCGGAGTATTAAAGGTTAAGAAACTTTCTACTTTGTAGGAGCCCGCTATGACCATTAATGAATTTATAAAGTGTTAAAAAAACACTTCAGTAAAAAATGATAACTTAACCTACAAAAAATGGCCACCAATTATTGTTTACATTAAGTAGTGTTCAAAGCCTGATTTCTTGTTATCAGTAACTTATTTAATTTAATTACAAAAAATATACAAATAAATTTTGGCCAAGCAAGTGGGCTTTTTGTCGGCCTGTAACAACAACGTGGTTTGCCAGTCGCATAACAACTAGCTATAGAAGCAAGGGTCGCCATCACCTAGGCGAGGTGTCACACCTATCAGATATGAACACCGGACTATAGGTTGGTAATTTAATTTTAAGTTAATTAATAGTTTAATTTAAGTTAATATTTCGTTATATGTATAAATTATTATAACATCTCGTGGTTTATTAACCACAACTATGATAATTGAAGTTGTAAGTGGTTGATATGTAAAACAAATCATAGCCCGTGTCTAGACAAAGGAACAGGGATAAAATATATGCGAGTACTTAAGTTACTTGCGAAATAAAATAAATATTACAGTTAAAATTAATAAGGAAATTTAATATAATTGTTAAAAAAAGAAAATGAAGTTAAACATGGATAATAATACAAATGTATCAAAAAAAGAAAGGCAACAAAAATAAATTTAGATATTTAAACAAAATCAAATAATATAACAAACATTACGGACGGTATTGGAACAAATCCGTTAATGTTAATCAGAAATTAATCAAAAACACCAGGAGTGGTCTGGACACTCACTCCTTAGCGATGGCTAGAAGAAAAAGGAAACACGTGCTCTCCCGACATAAATAAAATTAAGTTAATTTATAATAAAATAAAAATATAAATAGTAAAATACAGTTCATTACATAAATATAAATATAAAAAAAAACGATACCCCATCTCTGAAGAGACCCATCCGATAGTCTAGATGCTTCGCCGAAAAGATTAAGCTGTTCGCCGTTGGCGGATTTACTCCATTATTGAAAAAATAGTGACAATAAGACAACAAACATGTGCCATCTATCACGGTTAATAACAGAAGAAGGATGAAAAGTCAACACTAATGGCAATTTCAAATCGATTACAGCTAGATTTAAAATTAAGAAAATTAAATGAAAAATGATTTAGACCCAATAGAATTTTAAATTTTGATTTTGTAATTTTGAGTGTATTTAGTTTTGGCATAGAAAGTGTTTTTTCATAACAAAAAATATAAACCTTTGAACCTAAATAATAAACAGTTAAAGCAAATTGTTTCAATTCTTTGCTATATCTATAAACCCCATTGTTTCTTTCTTTTTGTATTAAATGTGATGTAATAATTAAAATTAAGTTTGGAGATTAACATTTTATATTGTTGATAATTTAAAAACCAACCGCACAAAAACATTTGTACAAATATTAACATTAAATAAATAAATTTAAAATATAAAATGTTGCATAATTGAAAAACAATAATTTTTCATAAAGACTTTTTTCCTAAGAGAGGCGATACTGATTTCAAGAAAATTTTGGGTTGTTGCATTTTGGAGATTTACACGTCTTGAATTGAAAGTTGTATCTGTTTATTTTTTGTCTATTTGAATATGTATATATTTGTGTTCTGAATTATCTTGGTTGAGCCGAATGCGTACTGCGACGGCGTTTATCAGTTAAAAAATCATGATAAGTTGTGATTTATTTGTGCTCGTGCAAGATAGTCATCTGTGTACTACTTCAGACCGGTTTATGGTCGGCATTTGTGTGTACATTCACCCTGCTCCTTTCCTATCTTTAACGTCATTTTCACTGATCACCACCTTCATTGTCACCTTATGATTAGTGATGGGCATAATCGAGATATATAATCGAGATGTCTCGATTATGAAAATAATCGAGATATTACGATTATTGAAATCATATCAATTATATAATCGAGATATTCTGATTTTTTTAATAAATAATATTAGAATAATATTGATTATTCTATAATCGAGTGATTATTTCTAATGATTTCTCGTTTATTATAAAAACAATGATTTCTTGATCTTGAAATGTATATAATCGAATAAAAGTTATTTCGAATGATGTCCATGAAACGATGAAACGAGAGAATACTATTTTTAAGTTTTTATTTAGCATAAATTATAGTCGAATTATTATTAAATTGTTGACTTCGAGTCTTATTTTCAACTCGTTCAATCGCTACTCATGGCAACACCTTATCTGTCACATTTTTGGGAAGTATGTGACGATTAGAACAAAGTTTTGTCCTGAACTGGCTAAACTACTGAGTTCTGATTCTCTCACTAGTTGTGAATTTATGAAAAATCAATTAGGTGTGGAATTAGGTGTTTTAATTATGATGGTCAAGCAGGCTATTGCTACCTTATCTTATGTTTTTATTTTTAAATTTGTTATCGGTTTTTTTAAAATATAGGTAATAATTATTAAATAAAAAAAATAACAACTTGTCTTTTATTTAAAGCACTTATTAATAATGCATTATTAATATATTATTGTTATTATTATTCCTAAATTATAGTTTAATATATTAATTATAAATAAACACCAACAAATAAAAAAAGCAAAATTAAATTAATAATTATTTACTATAGGTATATTTATTCATATTTCGTATAATTTGTCGATTCTCTCGATAAATAATAATAGTTGATTATTCTTATCATACGAGCAGACGATTTTAACTTCGAGTGATTTTTCGAGAGATTCACTCGATTATGAAAATGTCTCGATTACTAATCATTCGATTATCGAAATCATTCGATTATGCCCATCACTACTTATGATACGTGATTATTCAAACTTTTCTGAATTATTTCCAACACTGGGTAATAAAATTTGTTGACCCCTACTCTAAAGGCTAGCCGTGTTGTCGCTAACTGACCGCCGGATCAAATGACGGAAGTTTTGTCGTTAGTGGTTGTTGGTTAATTTCGTCTGTCGTGGTAGTGATTTTTTGTTGTGTGTGTTGCAACCAATTGTTTTTTTATATATGTTTTTACGTGAGTGTCCGCTAATATATATATCAGTTTTTTTCTCTGTTCCCCTTTAATTTGTAGATGAGGTTTTTTGCCTCGTATTAACTTAATTTTTTTTTTGTTTTTATTTAATAAAGTCCCCTTAATTTAACTTAACTATTATCTTATTATATTTTTTGCGTGTTCCATCTTCAATGGACCCGTGTATTTTTTTCCTTTCAAAAATCAACTCCCCTAGTTTATAAGGTACGGGCAACGGCCTTGTATAAGGTCATCCCTGATCAATATGATTATGTGACCACTGTCACGAAGTTTTGGTGAACATCAACTATAAATGACTCAACAAACATCAAATATAATTTTAGGACTTTTCTATTTTTTTTATATTAAATTGTTTTTAATGTACAAAATTTAATTTCTTTTTAAAATCCTACTGTGGTACGACAATACATTGTCTAGCCCAGTGGGTTGGCCACCCTTTCTTTTTGAATTTTTCAATGCGCCATGAAAGTTACAAATTTTTCGTTGTGGCCAATTAATGCAATTCTTTTTTAGATTTGTAACCTTTCAAAGTTCACCGTGTTTTTCCTTATTTGTGATAATATCATGATTATAGATAAGACTATCTATAATCTAAGATAAGACTATTATTATCTTCTTTATAATCACAACTTAAAAGGTTAAATTTCAAATATTCAATGATAAGACTTATCGTAAATCATGACTGAAATTCTGATAATTAAGGTCTTTAAAAGTGGTTAAATTGTTTTGGATTAAAAATGATACAAATGATATCATTAAATACTAATTTTATCAACTTATCTCATTAAAATAATTAATCATAATAGAATTCTTGTAAGAGACTTCCATGGCATATGTAAAGTTGTTGAATAAATAAATTATGATTGTTGTATAACTTATTTTTAGTAGTGCTTAGTTATATTTCATTTTATAACAAAGTAAAAGAATATTTTCTAAAACTTGGAACAAATTATGAACAAATTAGCGAGTAAGTAATAGCAATAAATATTGTAGTATATATAACTCAAAAATCCTAAATTTAAAATTTTACTATTCATATTTATTAATTATTATTGGTTGTGTTGTCTAAATTCTATTCTTATCAGATTGTGTAAATGGATAATATTAAAAAAATTCTTCATTTCCTTTTTTTATTTACATTATGTATAGAATGATTCTTTAAATGTTAGACACTCTATAAATTATACTTGGTATTATTTATTTTTATATATTTCTTTATCAGTTTTTATCTACATTTTTAATTTATTCCTTATACCTTATGAGAGTATCTATCTATTAAAACTTTAATTGGTGACATACACATTTAACTAGTTTATTTATTAAACAATGATATAATTAAAACAATGACAGGTCGATAACAACTTTTGGATGAGTGCTATGAATGTTATTAATATTTTTATACCTAGGTGAGAGGAGGAGATCAAAACTGAAATGATTATGGTTGGATTCAGTTTTTTGATAAGTTTTATTTTATCTAATAAACTAGTTGCTCTACATCATTTTTTTTTTTAAATTTGTACCATTAATAATTGTACACCAAAATGATGAATAGGTACATTAATATAATAGAAGATATGTATGATGGCACTTGTACCAGGGTAATAAGGGTAGGAGGAGTATCAAAAGGTTTTTGAGTAAGAGTAGGAGTGCACCAAGGTTCTGCTTTAAGCCCTTACTTATTCTCTATAGTGATGGATGAAATTACTAGAGAAATACAAGGAGTGGTGCCGTGGTGCATGTTGTTTGCTGACGATATAGTGTTAATAGAAAAAAATAGGGAGGAAATTAACCAAAGGCTAGAGGTGTGGAGATCAGCTCTTGAAGAAAAGGGTTTAAGAATAAATAGAAGTAAGACAGTATATAGAGTGCGAGTTTGATAACGGAAAACACGAGGTAGGAGAAATGAGGAGGTCAGTGACAATAGTGAGGACGTGATTGGAGAGGTGGAGAGTTTTAAGTATTTAGGGTCAGTTGTGCAAAAGAGTGGTGGTATTGACGAGGATGTAAGAAACAGAATTAAGTGCAGGTGGTTGAAGTGGAGAGAAGCGTCTGGCGTCTTATGCAATAAAATAATTCCAATGAGGCTGAAAGGTAAATTTTACAAGATCGTAATAAGGCCAGCTATGATGTATGTTTCAGAGTGTTGGGCGGTTGATAAGAAAGTAGAGCAGAGAATGAGTGTAGCAGAGATGAGAATACTTAGATGGATGATTGGAGTGACTAGAGAAGATAGGATAAGGTACGAACACATATGAGGGTGTATAGGTGTAGCGTCAATCATAGGTATGATGAGAGAAAATAAACATAGATGATTTGGTCATGTTATGACGAGAGGTGAATCGGAAGCTGTAAGAACAGTTATAGAAAAGAATGTTAAAGGAAGAAGAGGTACAGGAAGACCAAAATAGAAATGGAGGGATACTATTGAATGTGATTTGAGGACAGCTAATGTGAACGTAGATTAAAGGATGGTCATAAAAAAATGATTCATTGAGTTTTGTGTATTTTAATACATAAAGAGGGTATATAGCGTTGGTTAGTGAAACCCATACTAGTGTATATATACTATGCTCATATATATCTATATTATAAGCTCATATATTACACATACTCTATTGTAAAATGTCTTTAAATTGTTATTGACCCATTAAAATTTGTTGTAAGAAAAACTTCAAGTTGAAAGACAACCCAGGTTAATCATTGGTGAATTTGAAAAATATTTTTGACCCAGTTTTAAGGTTATTTTAAAATAAGTATTTTATTTTCTAAAATTTCAAATATACAAAACAATTTTCTTAACATAATTATTATTTTAAGAGATATAAAAAGGTTAATGTTAAAAGATTCACCATTTTTTATCAATATAACAATCTATTTCCATTTAATTTTGTATCACAGATATCATATATATATATTAATCAGTTTTATATCCTTCTATTTTTCGAATTTATTAAATTGTGTAATTATATTAAAATCTTTATAAATTAATAATGAGACAGCTGAAAAAATTTTTTATATGAATCAAAAATAAACATTGTTACAGTATTTCCCACAAAATTTTCAAAAAAATTAAGATTAATTAACAAATAAATTAAATTTGCCCCTTCTCTGAACTTTATATTTAATAATGGAAAAGAGTTTCATATTAATGTAACCCATCAAATAAATAAATGTATAATACTATTATTTCGCAGTTGTGATTTAAATATTGAACGAGTGACACGCATGTTTCACATTTTTTTTCAAAATATAATTACTCGGCCTAACCAAATTGTAATTTATCACAGTATTTTGACTTAATTAAAAAGTGAAAATAAATCATTAAGAAAAATGGTTGTAGAGCGCCAAGTGAGTATTGAATCATTGAAAATTCAACCAGTTAATCAGCATGTAAGTAGAGAACGTAATAATAAAAATATCATAAACAGTAAACTGGATTGTAGTACAGATGCTTCATTATTTAGTACTCAATAAATAGATGAAAAAAATGTATTGAAATTGATGACAAAAATGTATAAACCATCGTCAATAAGTCCCTGTGGTGTAAAAAAATATGAAAGACTTAATTTCAAGTTTAACCCGAGAAGTTTAAACCAATCGGTTCAATATGAGCAACATTTAAAAACTATTGCTATAATACTATTACTGATATTAAAAATATGATAGTTGTCGAACACCAGTTCAGGTATACTTTAAAAGTACTTAAAAAATATAAAATTGAGTATCACATATATCAGTTAACAGAAAAAAAAATGCGTGTTGTAATTGGAGGATTACATCCAGAAACTGAAGGATGCGAAATTATAAGAGACTTAATAGAAAAGATCATTACGCAAGTGAGATAACTAACATTCGAACAAGGAAAAAATTATATCCTATTGACAAAAATAGTGAAAAACAAGAACAAAATTTCCTTTATTTTGTTGACCATGAACACCGAGACAATAGTAAAATTTATTTGCCAAATAATTTATGTTATTATAAATAAATGAATATAAATAAGCAAATAATTTATCAAACATTTAATATTTGAGTGAAATGTACTGTTCTGATAATGAAAGTACAAACTTATATAATTATAACCGTCTTGAAATTTATACATAATATATAATATTCCTTGATAAAATATAGTGCTATGTGCAAATGCAAAATAGTGTCCTAATAAAAATACATATTACACCATATAATTAAGGTTCATAATAAACGTATGCGCAAAAATGAGTCAATGCGCATATTAAAACCACGCGCGTGGAAAAAAAAATGTAATTTTTCCAGAAAAGCGTTTTTTTCCTTGTTCTATTATATAATAAGATATAATAGGACGCGTACATGTGTTATTGGCATACAGAAAAATCGTTATTTTTCGTTAAAATTTGATGAATTTCAAACGTTCGTAGCGGCCAGAGTTTTGGTGGGATCTCGGATTTTCGGATTTTTGGCGCTTCCTCGGCACGTACAGAACGCCCATGGTATGATTGCGAATCGTAAAAAAATCGTTTTACGACATGAAAACGATTTTGTGTCACAAGAATTTCGGGCGCCGCGCCCTGGCGTCTTGGGTGCGTGAAAAAAAGATCGTAAAAGGGTGAAAAATGAACGGATTGAATTGATTTTTTCATCATATCTCAAGAATGTTATTGGGCGGGTCTGATGAAAATTTCAAACTTTAAGTCGTAAAACGCTGGCGTCAGCTAGTGTTTTTCTCGAAAACTGTCGAAATTTTAAAACGCTCGCGGGTGAGCGTCAAAAATTTTCCGACCTTCGCCAATAATTTTCCCGGAGTCTTGTGAACGAGTGTTTTCGTTGAAAAAAAAAAAATTTGAAAATCCCAGTACGCTAAGTAATTTTTTCTGAAAAGCGTTTTTTTCCTTGTTCTATTATATAATAAGATTTTTTTTTATCCCAAGCCTTTAAGATATTGTCTTTTATAAAAAAACCTCATTTGACATATTTTAATCTATTTGTACTTATTTCAATGTAAATTTTTGTATGCTAGGTAACAAGATGGCTTCTACTTATTTATACTTGTATTTCACACTATTATTGTGGGTTGATAATTGTGTTTGTCCTCCACGTTCATATGTTAAAAACACAAAATCAAGTAATCGATTATCAGATCAAGAATTTAACCTTCTTATGGAAGAAGAACAACAACAAAAGCAAAAACTTAACCAAGAACCTTCCAATGGAAATACACTGGTATAACGCTTGTATATTTTATTTTTTAGATAGTTATTATCGTTAATAAAGTTGAAATTTACCTTGTAACTTATTGAATATGTTTAAATAATTTATAGAATTAAATGAATTATATTATTTTTAATTGAATCTTTCTATTTTGCTGGATTCACATTAATCAAATACTGCATATCTTATTTTGTATTTTTAATTTAATACATAATATGTATTAATGGTGTTCTGGAAAAATAAGTAAGATATTTTTCTTTAGTATTGCATACAATGACATGATATTTGTTTATTTTGAAAATAATTCTTAATTATCTTAGATATATATAAATATGTTGCTATCTATGTATTTTTTCCACATGATAAGGTTTTTGAACCTTTTTTATTTAACTTTCCGATATTATTTTTTAATGAAATAATAATAATAAACATTTTTGTTTTTAGTAATTAAGTGATAATAGTTTTTCCATCAATAAAATAAAATAAATTAAAAACATTTATCTATTTTATCTTAATGAATACATTTTACAATTGTAACAAAAAATAAATAAATATTCTTTTATATCTTATAATTTTTTTTCGATTTAATTATAACAGTTGAATCGAAATTTAAATTTAAATTCATATTTTAATCTGGTATGCCCCACATACCCGTCATAATCTAACCCGTTGATATAACATCTCCCACCATTATTACCACCAAATATAGTGCGTATTTCAAAAACCCTTCAATAAAATCTCGAAACTATAAAAATGGGGTGAGAAATAAATAATAAATTTTCGCTTATTGAATTTTTTTTTTTTTATTTTTACGACTGTTTTAATAATTATTTTTTGGTAGCATTTTTTTTTTATATTAAAAAATTCCCGAATAAAACTATTAAATTTTTAATCCCTTTCCTTCAAGAGCTGATCTCCTTACTTCTAGCCTTTGATTTATTTTTTCCTATTAACACTATATCGTAAAAGAACAATATACACTACAGTAACTTTCCTTGTATTTCTCTAGTAATTTAATCCATCCTTTTAGAAAATAAGTAAGAGCTTAATGCAGAACCTTGGTGTACTCTTACTCTTACCTTAAAATATTTTGTTACTCCGCCCACAATTTTTTTCTGGTACAAGTTATCCTATAGTACAAGTTATACATATTTTCTATTATATTAATGTACCTTTTCGGGACTTCTTTTTTTATTAATGCCCACTTTAAAATCTTTCTCGGTACTCTATCATACGCTTTCTCTAAATCTTTAAATACCATACTGCTTTTCCTTATACTTATATACTTTTCTATTAGTTGTCTTACACAAAAACTAACTCCATCGCTGACTTTCAGGGCAAAAAGGGAACTGGTTCTTCTCTTATTCTTTTGTCTATTACGTTTTCCCAAATCTTCATACTATGACTTATAAGCTTTATACATCTATAATTCACACATTCCTGTATGTCTAAGTAAACATAATATTATCAGCTACTTACCTTTTTATAATTATTAAATTATAATTTGTGGTATTATAAACTATATGTGTGTAATATAATTCTTTTATAGATTAAGACTTTTCATTTTATATTATTTTGTGTGTTTAAAATCATATCAGTTTTGTAAGAAAAAATATTTTTCAATTTTACTTAGACCTAATGTGTTGTTTATAAATAAATAAAAACAAAAAAATATGTTTAAACCCTGTATATATATATACAGTAGCACAATCAGAAGGCGTTTGGAGTTGTAGTCCTTCCCTCTGGATATTATTAACGGTATTTGAATTTTTAAGCAATGTATTGAACAAATCTGTTTGATGAGTTCTTTGGCATTTATCGATGCAGAGGAAAATTATTTTATGATGAAAAAAAACTCTTGATTCTTAAGATATTTGTATTTGTCAACCTAAATATCTCATTTACTATTATGTGTAAATGATATTTGGCTGATAGTTCTATTGACATTTAAATCATAATTTTTCAGGATGATTTAGGTATTGAATACAATCGTTATTTACGTGAAGTTGTTGAAACATTAGAGAAAGATGAAGATTTTAGAAAAAAACTTGAAAGAACCAATGAAGCTGATATAAGGGTAAAAAAATTATGTTTAAAATTAGAGCTTTTGAGACCGTATAGATTATTATCATATTCTACTTGAGTTATTTATTTAGTTTAAAGGCACACACTGTACATATATATACACTTACACAATTGAGCACTACATAGATGGTTTTGCCCGGATGATCCTTCCCACTAACAGCAATTTTTTTACCGTGTTACACATTAACAGGTTTGTCAGTCCTTGAAGTGATATACCAAGAAGGCAACCATTGTTAAAGAAGTGTGGTGATTAGATGAAGTATTTCACTTTCGGCCCATACAAAAGCTTTTAATTATTAAATTATTTATCAATATCAATGATTAGTTATTGTATAGTTTTTAAAATGCTGTTTCAACCTTAAATAAATGTTTATTCAAAGTTTTTAAATCTTTGACATAATAAAATGTTATGTGGGAAGTTTTTATTTTCTTTTAATATTAAATTTTTAGTAAAACTAAATAAATAACAGGTAATATAATTTAATTAATCATGTATATTACTTATTTAACAGACTGGCAAGATTGCTGATGAACTAGATTATGTGAAACATCATGTTCGTTCAAAACTTGATGAATTAAAACGACAAGAACTTAATAGATTACGAAATATGGCTAAAAGAGCTTACAATGATTTTCAAAATGAACCAGGTCACATTGATCATCAAAATCCACATAGTTTTGAAAAAAATGATTTAGTTAAACTAATAAAACAAGTAAGTTGTTAAATGTTTTGATAAGCTTACTTAATAAGAAACTATTAATCATAAATAGGTTTACGGTGACCTTAATTTTTTTAGTCACTATCGATTTATATTTTATATTAAATACAGCTGATTAAAGTTTTGTAACATTGGTCCTAGTAGATATGTCAATTAGAGAGATCTATACTACAGGTCATATTTGGTGAGTAGCATGGAGGGACAATAGCCCCACTAAAAATTCTTAGGGGTAAATCTCAAATCTTAAAGAGCAAAATCTATAAATATTGTCGATTAAAATTTTTTTTCTATTATGTTGGTAATTATGATTATTTTATGTTCATTTGTATTTTAAAATATACTAAGAACAATCTAAAATATTTTTGTGTGTAAATATAAGCATTTTCTTTGTATCTGTTCATACAGGAATTTTTTCTCGATAGCTAACAAGAAAAATTTATATTTTGATGACTATTTTTTGCTTATTACTTTTCAATTTATACCTAAATTTGAATAAAAATTTTGGGGAAGGTGACTCCAAGCCCTTTTAGGCCATCATAAATACGACTTTGATTCAAGTAATTAATTACCCTACTATAAATTCTAAATTGTATTGTAAGCGCTAATCCTAATATAATAATATTAATACCTTTTTTTTCGTTTTGATATTTTAAATAATTAAATATAATAATCATAAAATATAATGACTAAAAAACTTTTTTTTTATTTTATAGCCTCTATATTTTGTTACAGAATCTCAATGTAAGTTTTAACTCTACCTAAACATTAATAAAATAAAATAAAAATGTTTACAAACTTTGTTTCTAAATCATTACAAAGTACAATGTAAAGAAGTACAATAGTTTTATTGCTCAATTGAAAACAACCATGTTTAATATTAGACAATCATTTTCTTACTTTCAAACCATGTAATAACAAAACAATTAAATAAGCAATGGTTACTTACTATCAGCTTCTCCACTGATAATAAATAAAATACAATATTAAAACTCTTTAAATTTAATTTTCAGTAAAAGTATTTCACATTTGTGACACATGTCAATCTTTTTTAGCTTCGATGCGAAGCTAAAAAGGTATTAATTATACTATGTGTTTTTTTTTAATTAATTAATTTATTTTTTGTGTCTGTATACGCTCAATCTCAGCTCTCGCTGGACCGATTTTGATGAAAAATATGTCAAAAGATCACAAATCGTATCTATTCGAAGACATTACCATCAAAATTTGAAAAAAAATTCCTCGTTCCCCGTAAACGGTAGAAATCCCTTAAAAAATTATAAATTTAAAAATCGCTAATTTTCGACATTTTTTTCAATTTTTTTTACTAAAATCTGCCGTAACTTTTTCAAAAATGAACATATCAATATAATTTTTTTTTTTATAGATGCTTGATGTCTTTACCTATTATTTGGTATATTTTTTTTGTAAATTTGACCTTTTTTCTGCCCACAGGGAGGGATTTAAAATGACAACTTTTTCACAAAAAATTAACTTTTTCAACTTAACTTTTGAAAATGTTCCGGAAGGTCTGACACTTTTATATATATCTTAAATTAAAGCTTATGTAATATACTTTATAATGGTAAAAAAAAATTTCAGACTTTATTTTATCTTCATGGTGAAAACAGACATTAAACTTAATAAAAAATTACGATTTTTGTAAAATAATTTTTTTTTATATTTTTAACTTAATAATGCTCTAACTTTTTCAAAAATGAACATATCAATATAATNTTTAAAAATAAACATATCAATATAATTTTAGCTTCGATGCGAAGCTGAGAAGGTATTAATTTTACTATGATGTGTTTTTTTATTTTTTTGTGTCTGTGAACGCTCAATCTCAGCTCTCGCTGGACCGATTTTGATGAACAATATGTCAAAAGATCACAAATCGTATCTAGTCGAAGACATTACCCTCAAAAATTGAAAAAAATTCCCTCGTTCCCCGTAAACGGGGGAAATCCCCCAAAAAATTACAAATTTAAAAATCGCTAATTTTCGATATTTTTTCAATTTTTTTTACTTAAAATTGCCATAACTTTTTTAAAAATGACCGAATCAATATAATTTTTTTTTTTATAGATACCTTAGATAATTACCTATCATTTTATATATTTTTGTGAACATTTGACCCTTTAACAGCCCAAAGGATGGGGTTTCAAAATGGTAACTTTTTTACAAAAAATTAACTTTTTCAACTTAACTTTTGAAAATGTTCCGGAAAGACTGACAATTTTATATATACCTTAAATTAAAGCTAATGTAATATACTTTAATTTGAAAAAAAAAAATTTGACCTCTGGACTTGTCTTCATGGTGAAAATGACTACCGTATGCAAAAATATGCTATTTTTGTGAAAAAATTCTTGATATTATATTTTACATTTTTTAACATTATGTTGCTATAACTTTTTAAAAAATGCATGAATCAACTTTATTCTTTAATGATAAATACTTTATATATACTTCTTTCATTCGACATACTTTTTTTTAAAATCGGACCATTTCCCTTTATACAGGGGGGGTGCAAACCTTTTAAAATGCGTATAGAAAGTAGAACTTTTTCAACTTAACTTTTGAAAATGTTCCGGAAAGACTGACACTTTTATATATATCTTAAATTAAAGCTTATGTAATATACTTTAATTTGAAAAAAAAAAATTTGACCTCTGGACTTGTCTTCGTGGTGAAAACGGACATCAAAGTTAAAGAAAAACGTACGATTTCCGTGAAAAAAATCTCGATTTTATATGTTATATTATTTAATTTATATTTTATATAACTTTTGGAAAAATGTATGGATCAATATTATTATTTTTTTATAATAAATATTTATATACCCCTTTCATCTGGCACGCTTTTTTTGTAAATCGGATCATACCCCTTTAACAAGGGGGGTCAAAACTTTAAACATGCGTATTGTTACTACGATATTTTCAATTTAATTTTTGAAAGTATTCCGGAAATACTGACACTTTTAAATATATCTTAAATTAAAGCTTATGTAATATACTTTAATGTGAAAAAAAAAAATTTGACCTCTGGATTTGTCTTCATGGTAAAAATGACTACCGTATGCAAAAATATGCTATTTTTGTGTTAAAATTCTGGGTTTTGTATTTTATTTTATTTTAAAATACCTGACAAGGGGAGTACAGATTTTCATAAATATTATATAAATTAAAATTGATATAGTATAGATAGTTAAACTTATTTAAATATGTTTGTTTCTTTTAAGTCGAGAAAAATAACTTTGAAATTTGAACTAGCTTAAATAGCCAATTTTTCAACCGCCGGAAGCAACGTACGGTTGCCGAGTTGGTAAAATTTATGTTTTACACGCTTGGGGTACGAGGTTCCAACCCGCATATGGCAATGAATTTTTTGCATTTTTTCTTAATTCTTTTTAAGTTAGTATAAATTTTAACTCGTTTGATTTTTATCACATTTAGATTCAATAACTTCAATAAAGATCAAGGATCCCATCACTTTAGTCGCCCCTTGCAAGAAGAAATTTCTTATTCGTATTAAAATTATTTTACTATATTTTAAGTTTTCGCTTCGATGCAAAGCCGAGAAGATATTTTTTTGTGACTATCATTTATTTTCTCTGCTCTAACTTGACCTACTTTTTTCAACAATACGTCAAATTACTACAATTCGTATCTAGTTGAAGATATTACTCTCAAAAATTGAAAAAAAAATTCTAATTTATCAATTAAACAGTTAGTTATTACATCGTCTCCATAAAGACAATTAAAATCATTAATTTCTAATGTTTTCAAAATATTTATTAACGAATGAAGTTTGATATGATAGGTTTCAACTACAAAATTAAATCATTTTACTTTGTAATTTAATAATTTTATTACTCTGTTTGTGTGTGCTACTATTAGACTATAATATTCAAATTTTTTTCTAACGTGTTGCTATATAAATCATTTCTAAAAAAAATGATTGTTTTTTCTCCTGAATTAACAATTGATTTTTACAAATATAATCAAATTTTATAATAAACTCAATTGAGTAAATCTTTTTAACAACTTTGTTTTGATTGGTACATTTAGTTAAAGTAAATCATTAAAATTAATTAAGTTCTCAATATTTCAATTATAGAATCTTTTCAACAAACAACAAAAGTTCCTAGGAAATTATTACTATTACTTCTATTTAAGTTATCTATTACCATAAAAATGCAAAAAAATATTGAGCTTTTCTGATAAATTTACAATAAATAGTAATTATAAAACTTTCTGACTGCATATTGATCTTAACGATACAATTTTTTTAATTGTCATAAAATTTTCTATTTAATTATGTCAATGTCAAACTTACCAATTGAGCTAAAAGTTATGGTAAAATAAATTTTTTTTTTTTTTTATAAACATTTACAACAATCAACTTTAAACGATTAACAAAATTGGTTAAATATGTCATTTTCCTTATTTTTAACTTATTAATAATCAAATTAATATTAAATATTATATCAAATCAGTATTAATTTAAAACAATTTTTTTTGTTCTTAATTATTTTTTTTTATATGTAAAAACTATTTTTTAATAATATTAAAACTTAGAAGTTATAGAAAAAGTCTAATTGCACATTTTAAAACATCGCGAAAAGTTGATTTAGAATAGTATATTTTTGTTTCTGATGGAAGTTCCTTGTAGTCCAGTGTATAAAACTTATAACTTTGTTAATTGTTATAACTTTATCAAAAATGACCAAATCAGTATATTTTTTTTTATTTAGATGCATGTCTTTATCTATCATTTGGTTTTTTTTATAAATCTAACCCTTTACCTGCCCACAAGAGGGATTCAAAATATTAACTTTTTTTTTTTTAGTTAAAGTAAATCATTAAAATTAATTCAGTTCTGGATATTTCAATAGTAGAATCTTTTTAAATATCAAAAATTACTTAGAAATGATTACTATGATTTCTATTTAAGTGTTCTATTACGATAAAAATGCAAAAAATAATGAGTTT